CTGCAGGCAATGGATCTGAGCCAGAGGTGAAACGAGACCTGCAACAGCTACAGGGGAAACAGGAGTGGGGAGGGTTCAGAACCACCTCATGGGAATGCACACTGGGGAGGGACAGACCCATGCACAGTGAGGAGGAAAAAGGTGATGAAAAAGACCAAACATGTGAAAGGCCAAAGGCTGCTGTCCTGGAGGGAAAAAAAATGAAAATTTAAACCAACACCTGACACAGGGGAAGCCTTACAGAGAGCCCTCTGAACAGTGGACTCTCATCACACCTCTTGTGAGTCACTGGGAAAGGAGTTGTGCATTGGGAAGCCATTTTACAGTGTGTTCTCTGCTCTGGAGATTTGAGATGAAGAGCACTTGGTGCACGCCCTTGACTATTACATGTGGGCTTTGAGCCACTTCTCACCACTCAGGGTGGTTCTCTTGCAAGAGAAACTTATTCCACTGATAAGGCAGAAGGTACTGTCAGTTTCTGTACTACACAACTTTATTTCTTTTAAACAAGCTCAAAGTCTTCTCAGCAAAACTACTGGGAAACTTGGTCACAATAATCCCATTGAACTCCAAGGTAACTCCCATTACTGGAAAATAATTCAGATACCAGCTACAAGAACAAAACCCACTGCAACATCACAAAGCACTTATGCAGAATAACACAGCATCAAATACAGCACTGACAGTCAAAATAGGTGCAGATGAGATCATTCACTTTGTGTCATTGTAAAATTACTGCAAGCAAATGCAGCATTCCCTGACTAACCCTGCTGAGGTAACACGAGAAGTCCATTTGACTCCACCATGTGCACAAGTTCCCATCTCTTTTGGAGGAAGGCTGTCTCACTTCAGACTCCCTGTCCCTTTATCTCTTACTGTAACACCATGCTTAGGTACCTCACTTAGTTATGACTGTTCCACCAACCTGCTCTGTATGGCCATGGTTGAGGTTTTTCATAATCTCTCTCACTGGACGATGCAAGTTGTACAACATTGATCTTGTTTCTCAGGCAGGGAGGCATAGTTCATTTGCCTGACGATCTCAGCAAACAGTTCATCCACCATCGTTTTGCTCTTGGCTGACGTCTCCATGAAGGGACAGCCCCACTCCTGAGCCAGGGCTCTGCCTTCTGCAGACGGGACTTCCCTCTCCGACTCCAGATCCACTTTATTCCCCACCAGGATCAGAGGAACTTTCTCGTATCTCTTCACCCGGACAATCTGGTCCCTCATGGGCTTGATGTCCTGGTCAGACAATCCAGCTGGTTAGTACATGCAAGGGATACATGGAACTGCTACACAACCACTGCAGAAACACATTTAATAACCCTCACGGGCAGCTGAACATTAAAAATGCATCAGAAGACTTTTTAAACTCGTAGTCACGCACATCTAGAATTCAGAGAAAATTTACTACCTACCACTAAGTTACTTCTTCTTTTCTATAAAAGCATGCACACTTCAGAGAATTTACATGCCTTAACAAACAGCAAGTGACTGCTGTGCTCTCAGCCAGTCTGTTCAGCCAGAGGAGGACACGGCACTGCTGCTCTGAAGGCAGGTTTCAGCTTTCTGAAGTTGTCTCAAGTCTAAGGGCCTGTAACCCTAGCAGGGGCATGCCATTACACAACCATTTAGGAAGTTTGCGCTTAGTTTACAGCTTGAGAAAGCCATCAATTTAAATAAAGCCTTCTCAGTCCTGGAATGCTCAGAATAATTCATTGTGAACACATTTAATCGCATGTAAGTAACCAAATTAGATGTTGTAAAGAGATTTTATTACCTAGAGATGCATTTATTCAAGCCTGAGCCGACACGGGGCGTTTACACTTAAAAGTCTGAGTCAGCCTCCTCTGCCCCCTGAGTGTTTTAAGTTGCTATCAGTACTACAAATTCTTGCATAGTTCTGAGACAAAGCAATCCCAGCGTTTGAAGTTACCACTGTGCAAAGAACTGCAGAGAGGTTTACACCTACAGCCTTCAGAGCAAACACTACAGACAGACGGGAATAATTAAATATTAACAAGGTGGATTACTGCACATCCATTCCTCAAATAATGAGGGCTCGCTGGAACGCAAAAATCAGTGAAAATGAGAGCTGAAGCATCCCAATGCCACTGCTGTTGTTTTCCAAAGATAAGCGTGTCTTCAGCTTGCACAGGGTTGTTTCGAGGCCTCTGCTGAGATAAGGTTTAGCCTTCAGCAGGAGCAAACAGTGGGGGTGTGCAAGGTCTTGCCAAGCAGCTGGAACACACCCAGCTCAGCAGCCCAGCCAAGGCAGGAGCTGCAAATCCCCGCGCTGCACGGAGCGCAGCTAAACTCACTTATTGCCCCAAAACAAAGCCCCGCTTCTACAGGCAGCTTAGACCACTACTAGCTGAGACAGTTTCCTTTTTTTTTTTGGAGAGTTTTAATCGTAGAAATCAAATCCAGATCCACAAACGATCGTGTATAGCTAGCTCTCCTCTCCAGTACTCCACCTACGCTGTGAGAGCATGGAGCTCGTGCTGGACAGGAATATATTTTGGGGGCAGGGAGCGGAAAATAGCAGCTCACTTAACAAGTCACAACTGCAGAACAATGAGACTCTCTTCAAGAGCAACTGCAGAAACATGCCTTTTAGGAAGGAGAGGGGGTTGGAAGGGGAAGTCTCGGGTTTAATATCGAGTGATTTCTTCACAAAGGGGGATTGCCAAGAGATTTCTGTTGGGGAAGTGGGAGCTAGTCATTGTTCTCCAGCTCTGCGTGGGATTTAACAATGGTGGCACCCTGATAAGTACCTGCAAAGCAAGCAGTTTTCCATCAGGAAGCAGGGCTGGTAAACGCGTTTCCAAGCTGGGCATTTACACTTTTGGACTTGGCAGATAAAGCGCTTTCCACGCACACGTGGCTACCCCTAAAAACTTCCTCCTCGGCCCAGCGCCTTCCCCGGGGCAGGGCCGGCCCCGGCCGAGGACGGGAGCCCGGGCGAGGTTACCTGGAAGGACTGCTGGTTCACCAGGCTGTAGACGAGGATGAAGCCCTGCCCGTTCTTGATGTAGAGGTCGCGCATGGAGGCGAACTGCTCGGTGCCCGCCGTGTCCAGGATCTCCAGCACCGAGGGCGACGAGTCCACCTCGATCTCCTTGCGGTAGAAGTCCTCAATGGTGGGGTCGTACTTCTCGATGAAGGTCCCGGTGACAAACTGCACCGTCAGGGCGGACTTCCCCACCCCCCCGCTGCCCAGCACCACCACCTTGTACTCCCGCATCGGGCCCCGCTCGCCGCTCCCCGCCGGGCCCGGGCCTAGGGCAGGCGGCACCGCGGCCCTCGCATAGCCCCGGCCTGCCTCAGGTGAAGGGCGAGGCCCCACTGTTCCCGCGCCGTCCTGGGGGAAGCGAGACCCCCGTCAGCGCCCGGCGCGGCCCCGGCCCCGCTGCGCTCCTTCACCGCCGCGCTCCCGCCATCGCCGCCTCAGCCGCGGGACCCGCCCGCCAGGGCCACCCCCACCCGGAAGGGTTTTGCTGAGGCACCGGAGGCGGCCCCGCCCCGTCGTCACCGCTCACTTCCGGCGTGCTGCGTCACGGCCCGGCCGAGCTGCGCCCGGGGGGCAGGTTTGAGTGTGACACCGAGGCACCTGTGCTGTGATGGGGGACAGGTTTGAGTGTGGCACCGGGGCACCCGCGCTGTGACGGGGGACCGATTTGCGTGTGGCACCGAGGCATTGTCCCTCTCCGGCCCCCCAACATGGCGGCGCTGACATGGCGGCCGCAGACCCTCAGAGGGCGGCTCTGTGAGCGCCGCGTTGTCCCTCCACGAGCTCCTGCTCGGCACTCGATAACTTGAACAAACTCCATAACAAACTCCTCTCAGCCTCCTGCGGGAAGAGACCCGCGGGGGAGGGGTCCCGGGCTGTGACACCGGCGGGTGTCCGGAGTGGGACACCGACTCCGCGGTTCTTCATCCCTGGCAGCCCGCTGGGCTGGGGACAAAGAGGGTCACCAAGTTGATCACAGGGATGAGGCACCTCTAATATAAGGAAAGGCTGGGAGAATTAGGATTGTTCAGCCTGGAGATGAGAAAGCTTCGGTGTAACCTAATTGCCCCTTCCAGTGCCTGAAGGGAATTTACAGGATAGATTTACAAATATTATAATTTATAATTTACAAATACATGTAGTGACAGGAAAGGGACAATGAATGGGCTCAGACTGAGAGTGCAGGTTTAGATTCCATATTAGGAACAAAATCTTTACTGTGGGGATGGCGAGGCCCTAGCCCAGGCTGTGCAGAGAAGTTGCAGGCTGTGCAGAGAAGTTGTGGCTGCCCCAATCCCTGGAGCGTTCAAGGCCATCCATGGCAGGGCTGAAACCTGATCGCCTTCAAGGGTCCTTCCCAACCCGAACCATTCCGGGATTCAGTGAAAGTTGTTACCTTCACCTGCAAGATTCGTCCCGTGCCTTTACACTCCCACAGCTGCCCAAGCCTCACTGCCCCACGCTTTTCCCCGTTCCGTGAAAATCCCCCCAGAAACGGCCGGAGATTCCCGGCTGGGCCGGGCTGGGCCGGGCTCGGGGCGCTGGGCTGGGCTGGGCTCGGAGTCCCACGGCAGTGCTGACAGCAGGTGTCAGCACGGCACCAGAGCCATGCCCGCTTCCCCGCCAGCGAAACTCCCCCTTGTTAAGAGGAAGCAACTAAAAAGAATCAACATCTGTTTTCTCTCTAAAATAAAATTCCCCTAGTCGTTTCAGACCCAACTCGATGATTCCCACCCGTAGAGAAGGTCCCCTCCAATATAACCACGTTTGTTTCTGCTGTTCCCTGCGGACTGCAGAATTTCAGCAGGCACGTGTGAGGTGCTGGATTTGTCCCTGTCCCCTTTGCATCGCCTGTTTGATTGCAAGTCCAGGGCAGACACAGCTGCCGCGGTGTGTCCATCCCGGGCTTCCAGCAGCCATGGAGAGGTGCCTGGTCAAGGCTAAAACCATCCAAAGGTACTGAGGACGTGACTCTGCTTGTGGCTGTTTTCACAAACAGCTTTATTTTATTCACTTTCTTTCCATAAAGAGAACATGTCCATTATGGAAAAAGGTCAATGAGGACTTTTATCCTCCAGAACAAATCTTACTTAAGTTACACCAAATTTGATTCACTCTTCTTTATTACATGTAAGTAAAAAGGCCTCTCCTTCCTTCACTGTTGCCTCCCGAATTGTGTTGTCAAGTGAATTGCTGGCAGGAGGCAGACGTGCCTGGATGGAAGATTTTCATGTGGCTGGTGAATCAGCTTGAAAATGTAAAAAGGTGAGCATTAAAACAGGCTGCCTCCTACTTTAACCCCATTAGAAATCACGAGTTGTTGCAAAGTACCTTAATGCACTCAGGGTGCTGGGGATAAAGGAAAGCCGCAGTTGCTCCCAGAGGAGCTTCCCATCTAATTTTAACCATGACACAATCGGCGACAGTGACAAATGGGGGGAGGGAGAGAAGGGGCAAGGGAGGATGAGGGTGACAATAATAAGATTACACGGTCACTTAGGTTCATTATGTGCACGTCTTTGTGGCAACGCTGGTCCATTATGTGTGATGGGTGGAGGAATGGCTGCGGGAGAGGAAGGGGCAAAGAGCACAGTGGGAGAGAAGCCAAATATATTTTTGTGCAATTGACTTTAACCAGCAATGTCTGGCTCTTGGGCTGAGGGGAAGTTCAAGCAGGTGGACACAGGATTGGGAAAATGGATTTTTCCCCTCCTCCAGTATTGATTTGGATTGCCAAGATTTATTTCCCAGCTCACATGACTTTATACCTGGACATAGATGCCTATAGCTGAAAAAAGGGCCTATCCCAAAGTGCACCAGGTTGTTTGTTATCCTTAAGACAAGTCATTCCCTTCATTAAACAGTTTGCACGGCTCTTTCACCACCTTGTGCCCTACCACATATCCTGAGCCACAAAAATAGCTGGTGATGTAAAAGGTTTTGAAAGTCTCCATGGGAAGAGCTGCTTCTGCCATAAAAGGCCAAGCCCTGAGCCAGCCACACATGGCACCTCCTGCCAACACCACCTCTGCCACTCCCTCGCTATCACCATCCCCTCCCCTGAGGTGTGGCACATCCCGGGTCAAAGGCCTGATTTAATCTCTGCTGCCACTTTCTCCACAGCTCCTGCCAAGGAGAAAGGAGCAGGGCTCAGCCCTCACTGCTGCCCCAGGAGGGTTTGCCCTTTCTCAGCAGAACAACCTTCCCAAATGAGCATCCGGGCAGGGTTCGATTGCTGCCAGAGCAGCTCTGTGCTGTTGATGGACTCAGCTGCTCTATGCTGTGCCTGCAGCCAGCAACAATAAAGCAGGCTCTTATTAAATTAACCTGCTAAGACACAGATCCTGCAGGGTTGTTCAGGGAACAGACAGATGGCACAAGCAAGGGCCAGGAATAATTGCAATCCCCACCTCACCAACGTGAGAGATGAATCCTGCCTGGTGCTGCGCCCAGCAGGGAGGTGGGACTGGGAGCAGAACCCTGAGAGGTGACAAAGGAGCCTCTCCAAGCCATGGATGGAGTGAGGAGTCTGGAACGTGTCCTGTGGATGCCAGGGTGGGACTGCAGCACCCCCCAGCAGCCAAAGTCTCCCCACTGCAGGCACGGTGTGGGTGCTGTGTGCCTGCCACCACCTCTTGTGGGCTGTCCCTGCTGCCATCATCGATCTGCTCTGACTGCCTGTGTCTGCTCGAGCTGCAAACCAGGCTCTCCTCTGCCAGGAGGGCTGCAGCAGCTGCTGAGCCAGGGCAGCAGGGCTAGCCCAGCTTTCACCTCAGTTACCATCTAGCTGGGGACGTCATTTGCGTAAATACATGCAAAACCAGCTTAAGGCCCCGCGTCCTTTCTTCTTTGCCTCTTCCAGAGGTTTTGCTAATCCACTTATTGTGCCTTATGGTGTTCAGCAGGGAAGCTGCAGGGTAGGACCAGCTCCTCAGGGCTCGAATGGCTGCTGGAGCACCGGGGGCTGCTCTCACATGCAGCTCATTCAGGGAGGTCGTGTTACACCAGTCACATAAATGCAATGACAGCTTTTGATCTCAGCCCTATTAGGTTCCAGTGAAATGTGTCTTAGGGGTGGAATGTGTCCACCTGGCCCAGTCTCCTAATTCTGGGGCTGTTTCAGAACCTGCAGAGATGCTTTTCTTTTTTGCCAGCTTTTCCTGCCAATATAGAGATGACTCAGAGGCAAATCCTGAGGACCTTTCTCAGAAATTTCTGATTTTCTGCCATCCCTCAGCTTTTAGCCATTACTTTAGTTGCAACAAAAGACATGATGGTGCTTTAAAAGAGGTAAAGGACATTACCCAAAGCAATTACCAATTCCAAAGCAGAAGTAGGGCTGCACTGAAATATAATTGATACAACAAGGCGACTATTGGGATTTCTGGGAGAAGCATCTTCTCTGGCTCACAGACATGGTACCAGATCAGCAGCCATTTAGAAGAGCTTGGCCAGGAGCTGATCAGCACCACAGGCAGCCACACTCAGTGCCTGCAGCCCCTCAGCTCCCCACCAGCCCTCTCTCCTGGTTGTCCCCTCTGATGCTGCACCTCCTGCCTGCAGGATGTGAGTGGGTCTCTTGGTCTCTGGGTGGTGATGAGCCACAGCTCCACGTAAGCAGGGCGTGCTGGTGAAGCCAGCAATGTGCTTTCACGGGTCATTCCTCTTCCTATTTTCTCCAGACGTCGAGCTGAGCTCTCTCCTCGTTGCCCTTCACAGTCCAAGCTGCTGTAATCCTTTCTGCAGTGCCTGGAAGCACCTCCAGCTTTTGCTCTCTGGGTCTGTTGGGCTCACACCGAGCTGCAGCTTCTGGCTCTCAGAGTGGCCTGTCCTGCACACACCCAACACGATGCCAGCACAGCACCCTCTCCTTGGTACCACCTTCCACAAATTTCTGCAAAGCTGAGCAGGGCTGTCCTCAGATTTGCCTTTGTTAAATCACCAACACATGGGACAGCCTCTTCAGAGAAATACATATACAGACATACATACGTACATATATATATATATATGTACATATACATATACATGTACATATATATATATGTTTTAAAATTTCTAGCCAACAGTAGAGTAAAACTGAAAATACAGCTCCTTAAGGCTGAAAAAGGCAACAGTGAATACATAAACCAAACCTGTTGCTTTAAACTCCAAATGAATAGAAAGGAGGGGGAAGGTAAATACCCAGACAAGATATATTTTTAAGATTTGTAAGTATAAAGCAATTTTAAACTGATGTCTTACAGAAAGGTTTCCATTTGCTTTTAGAATTCCATGTGTTTTCCTTTTTTTATCATATTCCTGCAGCATTTGAAATTCAAATGCTACAGAAATGTGTAACCTTGCTCATGAAATTTGCTGGCCAAATGAAGCAGACAACAATTAATTAGAGTGAAACCTCCTGCTTTACTCCCATTGGTGAGAACAAGAGAGAGAAAATGTAAAATTCAACCCAAATGGGGTATTGAGAAAATACTTTAATATGATGTTGATCTTAATAAGCAAAACCATTTCTTTCCTCCCTCCTTTTTTAGTAAATTGCTTTTCACTTGACAATTTCCTCCCAGAGAAGTGACAAGTATTATTCTGAGTCGTTAATTCCTCCGTGCAGGCTCTGAGCTCATTAAAGCGTGCCGAGTCCCCGGGCGGGCACTGCCAGGTTGTGCGGTGACCTGAGACCAGAGCACCCCTGCCTTGTGCTGTCCCCAGCCCTGGACAGGCAGTGTCACTGAGACACTGAGCTCCTCGTGGCTCCTCAGTGCCTTGGGTGGGTGACACAGGGACATTTCTGTAGGAATACTGGTGGCACTTTCCTTATTGTGCATGGGATGCACAATGTCTGAGCTCTGGCAGCACTCATGGCACGTGGGAGATTCTTCCCAGGTGGGCACTGCCACTGCCACCAAATGCTGCAGGGTGGCACATCCCACTTTATTTTGAGTCATGGAATATCAAATCAGAATATCACAGGCCATCTTCCTGGCATGGCCCTGTTTCCCATGCTGAGGACACTCACTTTCCCATCCAGCTCTTTTCCCCAGCCACACAAACACACCAGCAGAGAGTCCCCGTGCCTGGCACATGTCCCCAGATGGCCACCCTGCACATCTTGGATGAGCTGCCTCCAGAGCTCAGCCTGAGGGCAGAGGGAAAGGCTTTCCATGGCAGTGCAGTGGCAGAACCATGGGCAGTGGGAGCCAGGCAGAGCTTCCCCCCAGGCTGCCTTTGCCAGCAGCCAACAAAGCATTGCAGAGCAGGAGCACGGCGAGCTCATTATGAGACACTTGATCAGCTTCCCTGTCAAGGGAGGCCGATGGGACAAAGCTGTGTGTCCTCCACACCAGAGCCTGTCAGCTCTCCTGGAGAGAACACCTGGCTGCTTGGAGATGATCCAGACACCAGGAAGAGTCTTCATAACACCCTGGAGAGCTGTAGCCTGGATGACATGTGGCATCCATCATCATCATCGTCATCCAAAGCAGCCAAACCAGCAGACATCAGAGGCTGACTGCTCCAGGAGCCTGGGAACCAAGGGGTTAAAGTGCTTGGCCAAGGAAAGTCCTGGGAGGAGAAAAGCACCGAAACTGCTTAATTAGAGTATTCAAATTAGATGGGGTTGCAAAGCAGTTAATTTCTCAACTTGAAAAAAACCAAAATTAATATTTGCCAGCCAGGATCAGAAGCAGTGGGAGCAATCGACAGCTTTGCTGGGGCTCCTTGTGCTAAGAGGACTCCAGAGGTCTCTGCCATAATTACCTGCAGTCTTTAGCATTTTGTTCTGCAGTTTATGAACTTGCTTGAGCATTTTGTGGATAAAAGCTGGTGATCCAAACCCCAGCTGTATTTCTGCTTAAAGAAGCAAAGGGCTGCTGCCTGGCATTGCAGTGTGACACTTTGGTGTTTCAAAGAGTTTCTTAATTTGCACAGTCTGGAGAGGATCAAACCAGTGGCTGGTGGAAGCAAACTGTGGCTCTGCCAGGCTGGTGCTCCCTCCCAGCCTCCAGGAGCAGGCAGGCACTCCCATCCCTGCAGAGATGGACCAACAAACAGCCCTGCATGGGCTGAGCCAGCCTCACTCACACCAAGGGCTCACTGCCTCACTCATCCACAGCCATGGGCACCTCACTGTCAGCAGCCCCTGAGCGAGTCCAGCCATGCCAGTGCCAGGGAGAGGATTCTCTTCCCTCTGCCTTGTGCCACAGCTCCAATGTGGGAATGTGGACTTGGGATGCTGTGGGGACAGTGCTAGGACACATCCCTTGGTTAGTCCTTATCCACAGTCCTTGTCCTGTGGGCTGACAGCTTTCCTTGCTCTGGTCCATCTGTCTCACCCCTCAGGCTTTTCTCATCTGTTTTTTGCTGGTCAAATATTTTCCCTAATGTTTAATCCCATGCCAAATTCTTTCCCATCCTCTTAAAATTCTGAAATTCTCTAAATTTTTTTCCTTATCTTGTCTGCATAATTGAGAACCATCTTGAATCCCTGTGTTCAGACTTCATACCTTGTGCTGCCACGATGTTCCAATCACTTAAACATGAGATCTTTGCATATTATTCCTGTGGAGACAAATTTTTGCATGTTCCCTAGAAAGAAAGTCATCCTCCATTAGCAAGTGGTGAATGAGAGGGGATGTCACAGCAGGAGCAGAGGCAGCAGTGGTGAGTCCCACCCTGCCTCAGAGTGGTACTGATGCCTGAGACAAGCTGGGATTTCTTTCCCAGCAATGTCTTTGCTCTTCAATGGCTGTGAGTGAAAGGCTTTGACACCCTCCATCAGCAGAGCACCAGGTGAGGGCTGGCACACATTCCCTGCCACCCTCCCTCTGGCAATGCAGCTGCCACTGCCCCTGGTGCCACCCACCAAGCCTCAGCACAATGGGAAGGGAAGGGAAAAAGCCACTTCCCCCTGCACAGACACATTGCACCAAGAGCAGAGAAAATTGATCTCTGGCTGCTGAGCCTCTCTAGCACTTTGTGTTGCTGAAAGGAGTAATCAAGCCTGGCCCTGGAGAAGGCAAAGACAGAAAGGAAATGAAAGCTTTCCCTGCCTGATGATTTCTCTCTGGGTCTGGGGCCCTCCCTGGGGACCCCAGTGGTGGTTTTGGGAGAGGCTTTTGCTCTGGGGCCTGGAGATCAGCAGCAGATCCACAACAATCCCACAAAATTTTGCTTTTCCTGCTCACACAGCAGCTCTGAGGGAAAGGGGAAGAGGCTGCCAGGGCTCCCAGCTGAGCCCCCAACAAGGGGGCTGCCACATGCACCTACACTGGGCTTGCCCAGGGATGTCACCTGAGCCACAGCACAGCTTCTCTCCTGTCCTTCCTGAGCAGCCATGGGCTGATCCAGGAGCCTGGCTTTCTCCAGGGCCAGGATTGATCCACACTCAGGATCCAAGTGCTGAAGTGACACTCACGAGGCCGAGCAGGGAGAGGAGGCTCCTCACTTGCCCTCAAGCAAGGGTTGAGCTTTGCCCTCCACAAGAGTGTGGGCCATTTGCCACAGCCCATCACCAGAGGCTCAAAATCTCTGTCTAGTACTCTGTTGGCTGAACAATTACCAAATTAAGAGAAAAATCCACACTGAAAGGGGAGTCCAGAGGCTCCTCCTGGCTCCCAGTAGCAGACCCTGAGCTGGCCCAGCCCCAGCTTCAGCTATTTACAGTCCAGGGGACACACATTTCCTCAGGCAGCCCCTCAGCCCCATCCTTGCTAAGCTGTCCAGGGGCAGAGTTATGGCAGTGTCAGACTCCTGTAAGCAGGGCTGGGGGGGGACACATCCCCACACTCGTGCAGAGGAGCTGACTGTCACCTCAGCCCCAGGTAAGTGCTGCCTGAGGGACACCCCATCATTTGGTGCCCTGTGGAAGATGCAGGCTGGTGAGGCCGCAGGTGGGAGAGGCAGAGGAGGAGGGAGGAGGAGGAGGCAGATCTGTCCCAGCTCCTGCTCTGCAGCCCGGTGCCAGGGCTGGCCAGGCTGGCTGGGGTGGGCGTTGGTGACTCATGATCCCTGCTCACCACGATGACACATTTACTGCCAGCAGGAGGGGATGGGCCTCCTGCCAGCACAGCAGCCCTGCAGCCTCACGGGAGGGTGGCTGGGCTTTGCCAGCAGCTGTGCTGGTGCAGATGGGTGGGGAGGTCGCCAGCTGCAGCCCTGGGATGCACAGCCTGAGGTACCCCCTGGCTGGGTGGGTAATGGGGCACACCAGGACCCTCTGTTCAGTGTGGGAGCACAGGGACAGGGATGGGACATGGCCAGGGCCAAGCACAGCAGGCCTTGGAGCCAGCCCAACTCCCTCACCTCCCCCAGCACCCTCCCTGCCTGCCCAGAGAGCTGGCTCCCAGCAGCAGGCACGGTGACAAATGCCTTTAAAACATTCTTTATTAAGTGAGAAATCTCACTGTGCTCCCTATGCCAAGCCCTAATACAGTGCAGACCTAAATACAGCACTAATGCAAAAGCTTAAAGGATTTCCCATAATTGAGCAAAGCTGGCAGAGGGGTGAGAGCCTGGTGGGGGAACTGCAGCCCACCTCCCTCCTCAGCGTGGGCTACCCTCAGTCTCTCCCCACTGGTCCAAGTGTGGCCACAGCCCCCACCCTCAGACTGTTCAGTGTAGAAAATCAAAATCTTCCACGGCCTCATCCTCCCCAGCTCAGAGCCCCAAGTTGCCCTCGTTGCCCTCACCCAAATCCCCTTGATTTATGCAATAGCACAAGTGGCATCGTGCTGTGTGACCTGTGCGTCACCCGTCCTGCTGCTGCCAGCGCTGCTGGGGCCCTGCCTGTCCCAAACCTCACTGGGGGTCACAGCAGGGCCAGGCCAGCAGCTCTGGGCACATCCAGCTTCCAAAGCACAAGGAATGCTCCAGACAAGGGAGCTGCTGAGCCAGCACCCGCTGCTTCTGCACACCCCAGCATCAGGGGTGTGGGAGCACCTTGCACCCCAGAGAATACAAATCTTACCTTGCTATTTGCTCTTGCCTTAATAGCAGGGTGTGACCCTCGGGCAGGCTCAGCCCACAGGGCAAGTGGCTGATGGCTTTGATTCAGGCTTCTGTGGGGGAAAGCAAAACACAATTTTCTTCAATAAGAGTTTTCCAGAAGCTTTAGAAAGCACAAGCACCTTTGCTTTGGTGCAGCCACATGCAGCCCAAACACCCCCAGTGCCCCTTGCTGTGATCACCAGGAGCTGTTCACCAGTGGGAGCCCTGGCAGACGTTCAGGTGCACTGTGCTGCAGGTGTGGGGGCGAAACTGGGGCTGGCAGGGCTGTGGGGCAGGTGGGGCCATGGGGAGCACAGGACATGCAGAACTGCAGCAGAAGCACTGCCATGGAGATGGGCTGGGGTTGAAGCATTAAAGCAGAAGCAGCATCGATTACAGACACAGGCTCAGAGTGGAGGGTGGGAGGCAGCAGCTCCCTTGGGAAGGCTCTGATAACATTTACCAGCAAATCATTTACACCAACCATGGAGAAAAGCAGAAATACCTCTGTGGAGCCCAGCTGTGGCTGTGAAGAGAGAAACGGTGCAGCAGCACCGTGCCAGGGTCTCCTGCCTCAGGCAGGTGAGGTGTCACACTGCCATCCCCTGGGGCTGGATTTACACTTTTGGTGAGGTGTCACAGTGCCATCCCCTCGGGGCTGGATTTACACATCGATCCAGGGGAAGGGCAGTGGGAACAGCAGGGCAGATGCCAGGGCATGTGGTGCTAAAGACTGGCAGCACCACCCTGAAAAGGCAAAAGGAAGAGGGAAGGGCAAAGCAAACATCTTCTGACTGAACCACGCCCTGCTGGGACCCATCAAGGGCTGGGTAGCAGCTCCTCCAAGCCTGTCCCCATGGCCTTCAGGGCCTGTCCCCATGGCCTTCAGGCTGTGGCTTTTTCTGTCTCCCTGCCCACAGAGAGCTCAGAGGCCTCCCAGCCCACTCACAGGGATCCTTTGCTGGCATGTGCTGCCACCTCTCAGATGTGCTCAAGGCACGTCTCACCTAGGCTGGAGGAGGCACCTGAGTCCATTGTCTGCAGAACAGCTCAGAGCACAGGAGAGAGGGTGCAGGCTGCTCCTCACACTGCCCTGCACTCTGACACAAGCCCTGCTAGTGAGAGTTAAGAGCTGCTTGTGTTGGAGAACATATTTTAGGTCAACAACTCATTGGGGATTAGCCAAATTTTTCTCCATTCTCTTATTTCTCATAATAAATAGATCAAATTGATCTATTTATCCAGCACTAAGACCAGCTGGAATAAAAACTGGCTTTGGAACATCTGAATATGGAGCAAGTATTGAAAAATTGAATTTTTTCCCAAGTTCCCCACTGAAGCTTCAACAGCCAAAGAGCTAAAATATGTTTTTGTATGAAACTTGACTTTCCTGCACAAACAAGCCCCAGTGAAAAAGTAGATGGGCCAAGGTGCTGTAAGACTTCAAAATGACACATGCTGTAAATAGAGCATCATGAATAATTTTGGTCAGATCCTTTCATCCATCTCCACCTATAAAACAGTTTGCAGCAGCTCTTTCTGTAACTTCTGCAAATGGTCCCCAGGTAAAATCCCACATCCCTGGCCCAAGGATGCTGTTTGGCCTTGAAACACAATTTAAAGTCTCCTGTTGATTGACTACCCTAAATTTTCAGTGCTAGTGTGGGACTCTGAGCCCCAACCTCCTCCATGGGGAGGCTTCTGAGCAGAGCTGGTGTCTCCAGGCAGCCAAGGCCCATCCCATCCCATCCCATCCCATCCCATCCCATCCCATCCCATCCCATCCCATCCCATCCCATCCCATCCCACATCTCCATAAAATGCATCACTTGAAAGCCCCTGTCTCCATCCTGCATGGAAAGAAAGCCAGACCAAAGCTAGCAATAGAAATTATGAGTAACCATTCAGGAAGGATCCCATGCTTCCACATCAACTGCCTAGAAAAGTTTCAGTTCCACTTTTTTTTGATCTTAGAAACAATTCAGACATTTAACTGTGCCATGAGATGAGGCAGGAGTCATTTATAGAAGAAAGCTCTAAGTGGCCTTGACACACAAATAGAGTCAATTAACCTGCAAAGAGAAGTCAGGGGAACAGGCTGATGAAAAAGCAGCAGTTACATAATTTGTCCTGGGCTCGGTCTGTCTGTTCTCAAAGTCAGCAGCTTGTCCTACTGAGCAGTGTCTACCCAGCCTCCCCTGGCCACCCCTCCTGCCCCAAGCAGCTCTACTGCACCCACACCCTCAAACACACCCTCAAACTCCCAATCCTAATCCGTCCCCCAAGTGCCAGGAGTCAGTCTTAAACTCCTTTGGGAAAACAGCCAAGGATCCCTCTCCTGCTGAGAGGGGACTCCCTTGTGCTGGCACCAGACCCCTCTGGCTGCACCATCCGTGTCCCGTCACGGCCACCTGGGTGCTGAGGCTGCACCGCCACTGACACCTGCATGTCACAGGGGCACTTACATCTGGGGGCACTTACATCCTCAGGGCAGTTACTCACATCACCAGGGCAGTTACTCACATCCTCGGGGCAGTTACATCCTCAGGGCAGTTACTCACATCCTTGGGGCAGTTACTCACATCCTTGGGCTCCATCGTTGTCCTCTGCCGCCCGTGACCCAGGTGACGCTGTTGGCTGGCATGCTGTGGCCTGGCACAGCCACATGTCCTGGCCTGGGTGACACTGTAGGTTGGCACAGCCATGTGTCCTGGCCCAGGTGACACTGTAGGTTGGCACAGCCATGTGTCCTGGCCCGGTGCCTCCAGCTTTAAGCCTTGATGGAGCACGTGGTGACCGTGAGGCAGTCGAGGGGTGAAAGCCCCTCTGAGGCAGCGCTATTGGTAACAAGGTGGTGACCAGGGTGGCCTCACTGCTGAGCACTTTTCTTACATCTAAATCTACATAATGTTACAGAAAGCACAAACAAGAGAAGAAGCAATTTTCTCTTGCAGCAGCCCAGACCCAGCTCAGCTGGGGTGGCTCCAGACCATGGTGAGAGGCAGCCCCAGTTTGTGCTGGCCAGGCAGCCCAGGACGTGCCGGGCACTTGGAAGAGAGCTGGGGAATCCAGGCTGCTGCCAAAGGGGAGCTCACTGCTGTATTATTGCACTGGGACATTCAAAATGGCATCTGACACGAATGCTGAAAGAGAAAAATTAACACACACACCACTGTTCTACAAAAGCTGCAGGCCTTTGAATGGGAGTTGATTCATTCTTCATGGTTATCTTCAAATGCACAGCTCTGATCTCCTCTCTAATCGCATCACAGACAGGGTCAGAAAGGAAGCATGGAAAAACACAAGCCAAGCAGACCACATCACATGTGTCTCCAAAGGTCTAAGGCACGAGAGAAACCAAAAGGCAGCATCTGGAAAGTTTTACTTTTTATTTTTCTAAAATACAAATGTCTGTCTTGTGTTAGTAACTTTAATATGATAGGCCAAGTGCATCCAGTAAAAAGGAGGCACTGGCTACAGAATTCAAAATACTGAATGTATTTTCTGGAAAGAAATTTATTCTGTTGATCTACACTTCAGATATAACATTGATTCAAATTCATTAGTTATTATTTTTACATCAGAATCTTTGAAGTTTGGGACTAATAAACTGGAACTTGAAAAGTTTTTAAAGTAAACTCCTATTAATGTGTAGATATGGATCCATAAAAAACATAACCAAGAATTTTATACACTTTATTAAAAGATCAAAAAATAAACAATAACAATATAGAAGTAACATACTAAAATGAGTAGCATTATGCACATTTCTAAAGCACGTACAAGCACTACAGCAATATAATGTGGCAAAAAGAAACATAAATTCAAAGCGTACACCCTGTTGGTAGCAGTTGAGGGAATGAACTATCCTGTTATGGAACTGAAATACTGCATTAACCTACGCCTGTCTGGATCCAATGATATTTTAATTTCTTACAATTCCACAGGGCTAAGTGTAATCATTTGTATATATCTTCTAAACTATTCCATTAAATTGATATCTAATGTTTCCCTTACATTATTTTACCAGAAATGCCTATGAAAAGAAGAATGTGCTTCAAAGATCTACTTTACACAGTACAGTATAAATGTTTTTATATATTTAAATTAAAAATTGACAATTTAGGAGAACATTCTCTCTTTGATTTAGTGATTGCCTAAAATACAATTCTCTATTTATAAAAAAAAATAGTGATCTTTTGTCAGGTGATGTAATAAAGGGTGAGGAGTTGGTTCATTTTCATGATCTAAAAAAAAAAAAATAAAACAAAGCTAATTGGAAAGAAAAAAAATTCCCATAATCCAATCTAAGAATGGTCTTATCATCCCCTCATCTGCTAGGATACAAAAGCCATGGCAACAAAATCATTTGGCTTCCACCACTATCAAATAGCATCTGTGTACAGTAATAAAGAACTGGAACCTTGTAATTCGGTGTCAGGTAATTCTCTCTGTTGTGTGTTTGGAAAAATAACTTCATTTTATTTAACAGTTGTGTTATTTTGCATGTTTAAATATCTCCTTTGAGAGGCATATAGAGTTATTTTTGATGATAGAGGATGTCAGTAAAGATCACTAGCAAAGATTTTAGCAGTGTTGTCATGATCATGCTCATACCCCGACAAAGATTGACCAGCTATGATTCATTTCACATAGTGCAAAATATTTTTTCTCTCATAATCCTAGAAATGAGAAAGAACTTGATTATAGAAACTGATGATGGCAAAGGGAAGCCATAATCGTGTGGTGGCTTGAACTAGCTGATTATTTTGTATTAAAATCTAGGTTATTACATAACACCACGGAGAGAAGCAACATCTGATTTTTCCTCATTTTAAAGACCCTGGGGCTGTTCCAATTCAGCAAACCACCACTTGCACAGCCCTGTGGTGCAGAGTGGGCTGGCTGGGCACACGCTGGCATTGCCAGGGGTTGGGAATGCTGGCCAAGGAACAGCTCCTGTGCTTGGCAGCAGCAGCTCAGCCCCCAACCCTGGGGCATCCAGCAAAGGGTGACAGTCACACTGGATGCCACCTCCCACCATTCTGCTCTGGGGGACTTGCCCCTCACTGCTTGAGTCAGGACCAGACTCATGGCAAAACCAGTTACTTTTCTGAAGCAAAACTGGGGCTTGGGTTTTGCAGAACAACAACAAAAAAAAGAACGTAAAAAAAATCCAACAAAAACCAAAACTTGTTCCAATCAAAAATAAATGGGTCAACACAGGCACTTCAGCTGCTCCAAAATCCCCCAGCACTGCAGAGTCCCAGCAGTACCAACACAAACAGGAGCAAGAGGCTGCTCACTGAGGACCCACAGCTTTGCTCTCCCTTGGTGGCAACTCTAAGGGGCTTGTTAGTCCCAGCCTGGAGCACCCAGCTGGCCACACTGCCACCAGCCTCCACCTCCCTGTCCAGCAGCACTACCTTGTGCCTCTCAAATCACACCATGGCCGTCACACAGCACAAAGAACTGGCCCCAGACAATCCCAACCCATTCCTGCCCATCTATGGTTCATCAGCTTCTTCCGTTTTGCTACCTTGCCCCAAAAGGTTAAAAAAAAAAAAATAAAAATCAAGAAGTTGTGACATTTCAAATTCACTCTGGGATTTAAAACACTCACCACAATGACAGTCACCTCCCACAGATAAACACTTCAAGACAGAAATAGGATTAGGTGCTAGGAAAAATGTGTGTGTGCTGCCACGGACCTACCAGTCCTAATAGGATTCACCGAGAACACAACCTATCAGAAACATGACCTGGGGTGTGTTTGAAAATGTAGGCTGATTAAAAAAAGTAATTTGAATCTTTGCTAGTGACCTTACTAATTAATTCCACACCGTTTCCCATTCTCTGTGCTGCAGGTTGGAGCTGACCTGTTATCAGTCTGCTGTATAATAAGCTATGGCAAACTACAAAGCTTTTACAACAGCAAAGCAACATCATGCTTTCAGATAAGTTTTATAGCAAAAAACTCCTCCTTTTCAAAGCCTTAGTAATACCTATCTCTTTTACAAACTTTTCCTGTATTATTACAGACTTTTTATATTCAAAATAAGTTCCAAGGATTTCTTTCGTGGACTATGTACATAAGTGCAAAAAAGGTGTGTCTCACACATTCGTACACTAACTGAATCAGTTTAACTGCAGCATATTTGTATCTTCAACACTGTTACGGGGTCATTCCACAATATTTTTTTTCTTATGTACAGTTTTTGCTAATATAAATTAGTATTAAAATAGTTATATGCTTAATTATTTAGCCCTGATCGTAAGGTAATCGTGTGAGTGTTCAATTTCTGGAGAAAAGAAAATTGCAGGCAAAGCTACAGTACTGAAACTGATTAATTCTGAATTGCCACCGTGTGAATGGATGTGAAATGAAAGCAAGACCGGTCACTACGCTGTAAATACAGGCTGCTGTGTTCCCCAAGTGAAAATACTGTGGAATAACCCTTGCCACACAACAATTTCTACAAGCTATAAAACCTGACTCTAAATCCATGTGTTGTAAACTTCTTGACTGAAAAAGTGACCTTAAAGACACAAATTCAGCGTTCACATGGGACTTTGGGATTTTAAAAATATTCAATCATATCTTTATCTGACAGTATCGAACTGTACCTTTAACAAGCTCATACTGTTACACATCACTTTTAATTTACATGTGAAAATTTCACAAATAATGTATACAAAGGTAGCCATGTTGTAGTTTTGTTGCCATAGCAACAACAACTTAATATAATTAGTTAACAATGAATCTATCATTGTAGGAGTTACATACAAAGTTAATTTTGTTCTTAAACTGTAAACTATACAAACTAGTTATGGACTGTATTCTATACCTTACCATGCTTCAGTGTTGGTTTAGAATATAACTAAATGGGCTGAATACATGTATTAAAAATTTTAAACTTTCTCTAACTCTCCTTCAAAATTAAATTCATTAGTTACTAAAGATATCAAAAAAAGCAATAATGAAAACCTTAAAAACTAATGGTAGAGAAATGAAAATATATGACATGAATTAATGCGTTGTAGCCTAGTAACAATGAGTTGTAGCTCTATTTACATTTGGATTAGGCTATCAACTATTTTTTTTTTTAAAGTTATTACAGTCTTTAACATACAGTATATACTCTAAGGCCTTCAACAGGCACATGGTAAAATCAGGTCAATATCAAACTAAATCCATTCAACAGGAATGGGAAATTAGATTTTCCTCATAAATTTCACCTTTTTCAATTCTCATGTCTGTGAAATGTACAAGGGATAAACAAAACGAGGACTCCAGTTTCTCAATCCTTGTGTACCCGGCGTGTCCTAGAGCTACTCCTACCGCGTGCCAGCGCCAGCCCTGGCTGGGCCAGGGGACGTCACCGTGTCCTGCTCCGGCCGCCTGTGCCACCGAGGTGCCCCCGGCTGCGGTGCCAGCCCCGCGGGGTCCCCGCTGCAGGGGACAGCGGGAGGAGCAGCGGGAGCAGCAGCAGCGGGACCCCAGCCCAGCCCCAGCGCCGCGGGAGGAGCGCGTCGGGAAGCGGCGCGGGCTGCCCGGGGAGGTAACGGCTTCTAGAACGTTGCGATGCAAAAATACACAGTCAAAAATCATCGGCTAAAAATTTCCAACTAAAAAACACGGCTGATTGTGAAATCATGTTCCAAATTACTAAAAACACTGTATTTAACAAAAATAATCTTAATAGTTTTATGAATCCATTTTATTTTAAATCCCTCTTTTATTGTCTGCTTATGTTACAGTTTAGTAGTAGTACTTTTTATTGAAACTACTAACAACCTTTTTTCGTGAAAATGATCAATCTCAGCTTTCATTTTCCCTCTGCATGACCCGTTTTATCCAAGTTTCAGCATTTCTTGCATATTGTTTGCATAAGGCTGAGAGAAATGGACAAAGAGAAATAACTTTGGATAAATAAAAAATATAGGTTCATGGAAAGTGGGAAGCTTATAAAAATGTCACTAAAATTATATTGATTTAAACAAACTTACATACATCTCTTGTCAAATAAAGGATGATATTCATGCTTTTATGACATTTGTTTAGAGTCACTAACTAGCTCGGTGACTTTGTAATAGTCTATTTAGGAAATTTATAGTCTGGCGACTGGTTTTTTTTCTTTTCTTTCTTGAACAAAGAAAATTAGAGCAAGTCATTGCACAACTAGTTTAAATAGTGCTACCTCAAAATGGCATTTTTGCCGAGATTGTTTTGAATTTGGTGAAGTTTAGTGCTTCAAGCTTTTCTTTCCTTAAACTCATTTACAAATTAACTCTAAATTTGCCAGCAATATAAAAACTGTTGTGGCACCTAATATAACTACCCTGAACATCCCTCATTGGACCTCTTTAATAAAAAATAATCCTTAAACGCCTTTTTTTTTTCAGTGCTTTAAATGTGACATGAAAACAGCTGTATTCTAGGTTTACATTCTATGCACATCTATGCCAGATGTTTAAGTCGATAAATAAAATAGGAGGTTACATCAAAGTTTCAAGATATACAAAAATCCATTTAGCACTGAAAAAATTTCAACCTCCTTGAACTCATAAAGCCATACAAGCTTGAATGCATCCTTTCTGGCTTAAGAAGATCAGCTCTGTTCTTTGTTGAGGCACTGGCACAGGTTGTGCAAAACCCATTTTTGATACACAAATAATTTCAAACAGGAAGTACTCAAATCCACTTTTTCCACTAACAATGTTATGGTTTTGGGAAACAGAAACACAGTGGTGAAAAGAACAGGTATGTGGTCACCAATACAAATGAGAGTCACTGATTTCACCCCTCTGCTTGTGAGCACAGATGGCTGGGGAACATCCACGGACACAAGCGACTGTCAAAACTCAGGGTCCATAAAAGAGGTCTTGGGGGAATGTTTTTTTCCCCTTTCTATCAGGGTTTGGTTCAAAGTCTACTGAATTGAACAAAAAGATTCCTCAAAGCCTTAATGAGCTGGGCTCCTCAAAGATTCATGCTATGAGTGAGTCTCCATGGGCAGATGGTCAGAGCCTGCCCTGGGCTCACAGGCTGTGCCCTGGGTGTGCCACCATCACTCGTGGCCCGTGGAGACACACATCCAGCAAACTGTCTGTGCTCATACTGCAGGAGGGAGAACAAGGAATATCTAACCTAGGCCAAGGAACTGGGAAAAGAGAAGAAAATCTAGTGTCTGAATTTGGCACTCTACAGGACCACTCTGAGCTCAGGGTGGTCACCCCTCCAGACACTGTGAGCTGGCCTCTTGCTTGATTCTCTCTGTATGGAGTTTGTGGATTTACAGCAGCAAATCCACCTCTTCCATAATGCCAATGATACTGTAGAGCTATGATAGGGATGAATTTGGCGGGATCCTCAACCCAAATGCATTTCTGCAGCCAGATTGTTCAGCAACGCAGCATAACGACAGGCAGGGCTGTCCAGGGTGCACGGGCTGAAATGGTTTTATTCGTGCGTATGAAAAGGAGGTATTGAGAACTAGCCCTTGTTGTGCAACAAACATTGCTCTTGATCAAGTAGAAGGTGCCAAAATAAATCCACTGACCGACAGGAACTCCATTAAGACAAATGTTTATCTTCAGCAGAAAGCTTATGCTGAGCTTTTTGCTGCTTTGTTACTGCTGTGTTTGCTTTAAAGGGCCAGAGATCACAGGGATGGGGGAAATAATCACCCACTTATGGAAAATGGTGATTAAATAAATGGGGCATGCTGACAAAATTTCAACAAGAGACACATATAAGATTTCAGGCCAAAATGTTTCAGCATGCTTGGTGGAGACAAGCCCCAGGGCTCGGTGCTGCCCAGCCTGGGCTGAGCCACGGCCCCGGGCCCTCCCCAGCCAAGGGCTGGCACCTGCTCCTCTCCAATGCAATGAGCTTTTGCCCAACTGAAGCTGTCTCACTCCACCACCATTTTTTTGTTGTTTGTTTCAACTGCACCATGAGAACAGCGAGAGAGATTGTGCGCCGTTTGCAGCTGAGAATGCACTTCAATGGACAACAGAGCTGCAGAAATCCCTTGATGCTTACCCCTGTCTGAGCAAATTGTTCCTGTCCCCTTACTGAGCCTGGGCTTTTGTGTTTGTTTTTTTTCCCCAAAAGTTTCCAGAATCAGCTCATTGTATTGAAAGAAGAACCCTGAACCGGACTAAAATGATAGCTGTCTTTTCACATCACTTGTACTAAAAATTTGGAGACTATCTGAAGGCAAGTTTTAAATGATAAAAGGAGCATTTAACATAAGCAACTTTAGCTGACATTAACAGCAAAATCCAGCAAAGGGCAGAACATTCTGTGTCGTGTTTTTCAAGCACATAATTCCTGTTTCCCACAATAACATTTTTAGTAAAAAACAAACAAAACCCCATAAAACCTACAGTATATGAAAACTTAAGACATAACAATAATGAAAAAATGGTATTGAGTATACTTGATAATGATGTACACTTTAAAACAAATCAATAGACTATGATGTAAACAAAACAGTAAGATAACACTTTAAAAACAAGACAAACATTTATCCATCGATAGTATACAGTAAACCAACAGTCCGCTGTGCAGATGCACTTATCATGATGGTAGTCATAAAATGATTAAGTGTGTTAAAGTAATGTGTTATAAAAGTCTATTATAATTTCCTACTTGTATATCTCATATAACAGAGCGCTGTTTGTTAATTGTTTCTATAGTGCTTTTTTTTTTTCTTTTTTTTTTTGACATTCCCATTGATCAGTTTTTGGTTAACATGTAGGCTGCAACAGGCTTACTGTAGAGGTGGTAGAGAATGATAGAGGGAAGAGGGGAATATATACAGAAAGGCCATGCGCAGCTTCCCACCAAGAAGTCCTGGTGCTCCATAATTTTACTGTTCAGAATTTCAACATGGTCTGCTGCAGGGGAAAGAAAAGAACAACAACAAAGAAATTGTGAGAAGTTAATACATCTATATTTTAAAAGTCATTCTAGTGTGTTTACATCCTCAATATGTTGCCCAAGAAGTTGTCATTAGTGTGTTGCAGACAGACATTTTATTCCATTAATTTTCTGATGTAGGGAGAAATTGTCAATAACATACTTGGCATCCTCTTAAATCTGCACTTCTCTCTCTTTCACACAATGACAGGGCAAATAGTGAAAGAAGGAGGTGAACAATAATAGTCTTGATTTTTGGATGGGATGCCAAGTAGAGGGTGGCTAAGGAGAGGGCCAAAGGAATCTCTGATCTGTGTTAGCTCTTGTTTCCTTTAGACAGTCACATTAAATCTGATCCTAAGGATTTAGGCAACTGAGCCCAGAGATCAAACACTGACACAGAAACCCTGTGCTCAGGGCCCCTCTTCTGGGAGCAAATTGCCTCTTTGTGATGTACTCATGAAAATCCTCCACTGAAGAACCCAACAACTCATCTCCTGCAGAGCTAGACCAATCAGTCTGGCTACCAGGACTACTTCAACCGTGGAGGGAAAGAAAAACATCTGTCAGAGCAGCGAGGGCTTCAGTTACCAAAGCCCCACTAAGGAAAAGTCTCCTGAAAAAATGTTGAAAACATTCAAGATGAAGCTCTTCCAATCAAATTATCTCCTTATTGGGGGTACAGGCTGTTCTACACATGTTATGGAAATGGGTTAACATGTCATGTCTGTCTGCCATTTGGAACAGCAGTACAGTCTAAGCTGAACATTTTCACTAATGTGGACAAGCTTGGTGTCACCCCTCATGAACAGGGTCCACAGGCACAGTCAGCAGGTCATGTATACATATGGTATTTAATTAAGGTCAGCAGAGATAAGGGCCACCACTGAAAAAGTAGCTTCTGTTGATTGCTAATAGATATCATTACTGAATTGCTTGCCAAATTAATTTCCAGTATTTAAGGACTTGCCTGTAATATGTGACCTAAGGAAGAAATGGGTTTGCATATCTGCATATACGAAATGGCTGCTTTGAGAAAGACCTCTTGTTAAATTGGTTGAAGTCTCTTGAGGTAAAAAAACACACAGCCAAGAACTGAAACTACCCAGAGCTCATGAACATCAGCTAAAATTCACAAAGAAAAGCAATGGAAAAATGACACTGCTGCTATGGCTGTGAAATACTACTCTGTAATTCCAAGGTCAAATTCCTTCATCACTCCCCTCAGAGAAAACTATCATCTTAGGGAAGCCCAGGATCTGCAGGTGAAGTGAAGACTATGTTGCTCATGACATTTATTCTGGTCTCCAACCCACCATGAGCCAGGCCCTCTCTGCAGCTGACCAGCAGAGCTCTGCCCAGACTGAGCCAGCCTTGCAGATGCACAGCAGCTGCTGCTGACCCAATCCTGCTTACCCCAGGAAAGAAAATATGTCACTGACAGCAAAAGAGAAGTTACACCTTTTCAGCTGACTCATTACCAGAGCAGTCTTTGCCATCAGCACTGCAAATCCCTGAGGTATCTGCAGGCAGCTGAGAGCTGTGCAGAGCCATGTAAACCTGTAAACAGAGCCATGGGGCTGGGGGATGCACAGAGAGGCTGTGACCACCACAACACAGGGACCTGAGACACAGGAAACTCATTATACACCACAGGGCTGGTCTGTGTCTGTGCTGCAGCAGCTGAATTCCGGTGGAGTCAGCAGAGCATGAAGCCAATGGGGTCCCATGGGCTCAGTCCCTCTGCCTGAGCCAGCCCTGTGCTTAGGGGATGCAGTGCCCATGTACAAATCAATTCACCATAAAGAGAAATACCAAAAAGGAACTTACTGTTCTATCGGGAACTTCTACATCTGTGAAACAAACATGCTGCTACTCAGTTCATCTACTGATAACTGGGATATCTACAGCAAAAAAAACAAAGAACACAACACATTAAAACATTGCCTTGAGATCAGGCTGTTCATTCTGTCTTCAGCATTAGATTAATATGTACATCAGTGTCTTATAAAACAGGATCCACTCCCAAGTCTTTATTTTGCTACACTTAAAGAACAATGTAGCTGCACCACTACTGATGCCTTGTGGAATACCTGGTGATTGTACTGGGATTTTAACTCCATAGACTACAAGTAAAACAGAAATGCCCTGAAACTATCTGGCTCAAACAGGACTCACACAGCCACAGAGCAACGCTGCACAGCAATTTCTGCTTTCCTCTCATGACCAATACAAGTCTGAGTAAGACCTGCTCTACCTGAAAATACAACAAAGCACAGAAAAAGACTGGCAATTCCTACTGCGAGCAGTAAAACACTGCCTAGGACTTATGCAGGCAAAACTCCTACTGAAATCCTCATGACCTCACACCAGCAAAAGCCTAGAGGATGCCCCCAGAGATATTACTGGTATTCAGCATGGATAACAGCCTCCTACAGAGCAAAGTGACACCCCGATTCCCTTGCAATAGCTCTAAACCTGAGAGCATGACAAATAAAAATGCTAAAATTAGTCCTGGGGGAAAAATTTTTTGAAAAGTGTTTGAAATGTCTCTGGTCTAACTGGGAGAAGCTGTGTCACACCAAATTATCAGGACGCATCACTAGGACAGGTTGTGCATATACAGTTCAGGACTGGTGCAGAAGCAGCCATCACACTCAGTATCTTCAGAGGAAAGTTTTGGAGAGAATTATGGCTTGGCACACATGCATGGAATCCTGTACACTTATGGCAGTGCTACAATGGCACGTACTGCACATCCAGAGTCCTCTCTGTAGGGATGGGTGACATGCTATTGGCATAAAAAAAACTCTTCACAGTCTCACTCCCGATTTTTGGTTGTTTGGGGATTTTTTGGTATTTTTTGGAGTCCAATTTTGTGGTGGTGGGGGAAGCCACTTTATATTTCCACTTCCACTTTCCAGTCCAGAGAGAACAAGCCAAAATACCACAGGGAAGGATGCTCGGGGTGGTATTTCTGCTTGAGACTGAAAGCAGAAGCGCTGCAGGTCTTGCGTGACCCCACACTCGGCAGGTTGTGTTTGGAGGAGCCGGGGGGAGGTGTGGTTTTGGAGGAGAGCCCTCGGCCCTGCCAATCGCCCATCCCTACGCCCCGGCCGGGCAGGCGGGAGCGGCCCCTCTCCATCCCCGGCCTCACGCTCGCACACACGCACACGCTGCCTCTGCGGGACGGACCCCGCACGGGATCCAGCCCTCGCCCGGTCCTCAAGATCTGAACACGTGAAAGAAAGCCATTGAAAGGGCCAAACCTGATTGGCGGTAGCTGTTGCAGCGAAGGGGACGCTGGTGGCAGGAGTTGTTGCTGCAGACACAGTGGTGGGCGTAGCACCGTGCATCATGGGCACTTTCGGAAGGGAACCATGGAAGCGACATACAGGAGGGTGGAGCGTATATATATTTTGTTTGTTTGGTTGGTTTTATGTAACCATGGCAACATGTGGTGGATTTGGGGGCGTGGCAGGAATCACAGCAACAAGCCATGTGACATCGTCATGAAGGACACATCGGGGCGCAGCATGCAATCACAGTGCAAAGCAAGACAGCGTTGGGAAAAAAAATAAACAAGAGAGAAGGGGAAAAGCCAATTACAATTATAATTAAGGAAAAAACCAAAACATTCTCAACACTTAGTACATTTATAAGCAGAACAATGATGTATTAGACTCCGAGGGCCAAATTTCCAAAGGGGGGAGAGGATGGGTGTGCTAGCAAAAGCCCACGTCAGCTCGCACCCGTGGGGAGTTAGACACAGCCAGTGCACGTTCCTTTGGGTGGGGACATTTTGGCAAGCGCACCCTCCCGCCCACCTGGGAAAGCTTGTCCCCTTCCCTCCCCACCCCGTCCCCGCCAGCAACCAGAGGTACATGATGCACTTTGCAGCGGCTGCCGCAGCCCTTTCACCAGGTTTTCTCGCCTCTCTCTAGCAGGGACAATGTTTTGGCACGGGACAGAGCTGGAGGCACGGCAAACGAGCGGCTGGCAGACTGAGCTCTCTCCGTACAAATTCAGCATGCTCCCTTTCCACCCTAATTCTATAGGATTTGGCAAAACTCCCCTCTTGCAGGGTGGGAGGATGGAGAGGGGAAGGGACAGAGAGGGGGAAAATACACAAATGCATCTGAACAGCTACAATTCGCAGGAAGAGCATCCGAAAGGACAACACGGCAGCAGGGAGCTTGGCAGCCTCCTGAAGCTGCACGTCCTGCAGAGCACAGTGCTGGAAGGGATGCTCTGGTGCACACACGGGCATCCCACACACCCAAGGGGAATTTGTGGGGTCGAGGAGCCCAGAGGAAGGCCCAGCCATCCCCACAAACATGCGGTGGGGAAGCAGACTTGCCTTCCCCTCCACCCCAGCAGCACGGCCAGCCCCAGCAGGGAAGGAGCGTGCGCCTGCGGCTGGGAACGCTCCAGCCACGAGATGTTGGAACGTGTGGGTTGGGGTTTCCTACAGGCAGAGGTGCATTTGAGGGACTCCGCTCCCCATCATGCAAGCAATGTGTCCTCCCTGTACTACAGGGATAGGCAAGTTCAAGAGCAGAGTGTTTAGCCATTCATGCCAGAGCTTCCAGACCTGCTCTCAGAAAGCCTTGCACCCCCCCAGGGCTCCTGCCTCTCTCCCTCTGGCTAAAGCAGGCACACACCTGGATGCTGGTAGTCTTGCATAACCTTGGCTAGAGGATGAAAGCTCAGCTTTCACCCGCCCTCCTGCGCCCAGCAGCTGTAGACAAGAGGGGAAGGTCCTCAAAGGCCTGCAGAGGTTTCATCAAGACCCAGATGCTGAGCCTGAACAGAGTGGATCCCTAATGAGCACAAACTGCCTCCCTTTATCCCACGTGCACCTGCAGTGGTACCTCCCTATGCTCTCCTGTACCTGCACACCTAACACTGTCCTACAGAGATGACTCTCCAGCCAGTCCATGGTCCAAACCCTGCTTTTCTCTTGCTGTACAAGCAGCACCCTGCTCTGGCAGAGGGGCTGACCCCAGATGTGCTCCTCCTTAGCACCTTGTTAAACCAGTCTCCTAAAATATCCTCAGAAGGACAACTAAAAATCCAAACTTAAGGCCGCCTGTTGCTTGATACAAAATAAAACAAAAATAAGCCAACAGGATCCTCCCACTTCTATTTCCTTGTGTCAGATGACTTAAATGGGTTGTAAAGACATCTAAGTGACAGATTCTTGTCTCTGAAGCGGAACTAAATAGGGGTGGGAACACATCACCTTGGATTCTCTTATTGTAAGTCACATGAAACACTGCACTGCACAGAAATTAAAAGGGATACAACCATTTAAGCCTCAAATAAGACAGCGGACAGACAGTCACACCATTCAGCCACCCAGGTTCTCACTGATGCATACTAACTTGCAGTCTCTTTCAGATTAGGAAAAGTTGAGAAGTTTGTGTAGAAAAACCTACCAACGCTTGCAGTGGGTGTCATGCACAGAACTGACCCTGCACACCATGCATTGAAGCGTGGAAAGATGAACAAAAGGGATATTTCATTAGTGAAGCTTCAGTGTTAGATATCACTTTAACTAAAAAGCAGGTATTCTCTTTGCAGCATTCAGTATTTAAGCACATGCAACCAGATTCTGCATATTGGTATATCAATAGTTTAAACTCAGTTTAAAGAGATCATAGCAAACCAAATTAATTCTTTAATTCTTGCGTAGTAGAGAAAAAACTCCTCCCACCTTGGTATTAAATGATATGACTGATCCCAGAAATCAGGGTTGTTTGGGATTTTTTGGGTTTTGGGTAAGATGACTTCTTTCTGATTGTGTCAACAGAAAACAAATTGCCCTTAGAAGAATGTCACACTCATGTTAAAATTGACTTTCCAAAAGCAATTTACTCCCGCAACCAGGGATCGTGATTCAAAGTCTCTAGTTTAAGCTGAAAGAAGCATTTATTTTTCTGGACTCGAAAAAATTGCAGCGGTGATGCAATTTTCAAGAGACAGCCTGACTCCCCCCTGCCATGGCAACCCATGATGCTGATCTCTCAACAACTGAACAGGAGATACTAAGAAAAGCAACAGCTCCCCTCCCCTCCCCACAGTGAGAGCTGCGACATGCCACCTCTCTGCTTTGCTCCCTGAGCACTGCCAAGGCTGAGCCCAGAGCTGGAGCCTGATGTGTAACATAAATTCATCACAGACCCGTTCTCTGACTGGAAATTTGCTGCTCTGCCCAGCATTAATGTCTTCAGACAGAGCAGGTACCAGTAAGCAGCCCTGTTATGCATCAGCCCTGTGTGTAATTTCATTGCCATGATCTCAGTACCAGCGCAGCGAGGACTGGGCACAGCTGATTTATGGTGCTCCATCAGAAATTCCTGTCCTAATGTCAACTTTGGCAACTGTGACCTTGAGGAGGAGCAGTGTGTAGCCAGCTGGGGACTTGGCATTCCCCAAGGTGTCCATGTTTCCTGAAGAAGTATTTCACTTGGCACCTGTCAGAGCTGTGCTAAGGTCAGCTGAGCCCAGCCTTTCCAAGGTTTTGCAGAGCACAAGGTAAAAGGCCACTACTCCATCTCTCTGCATGAGATTCTGCTTCCCTGGAAGAACATCTTGGTAGCTGCTGAGTTCTGAGTGTTTCCAAGGGCTCTCATAACAGAAAGGCCACATGAGCACAGGGTTTAGGTCCCTGCCCCCTGGACCCACACTCCACCTTGCTCTCGGGACCAGATTGTTTCTAAAGTTTTTCCCCTGACCCCAAAGAACAACAGTGCCAAGGTGCAAGTCCACTGTGTGTTCACCTCCAGGGGTCAGCCCAGAGAAACACTCTGTGTATTTTTGTAAGCATCATCTGGTAAGTAAATACAGCATTAAACATTAAAAACACAGGGCATTAATTTTCCTATGGTACTCTGAATGATAATAATGATACTAAAATACGAGCTATCTGAAATATTCCTAATTCAGCCACTTATAATACTTTCCACTCCAAGCAGGTTTTGTTTTCCATTTGGCTGCAGTTAATTGGCCAGTCAGAAGACAGTCACATCTGCCACATTAATATTTCCAGTTCTGTAAGAATTACTGAACTGCATCTTTCAATTTAACTCTGAGACCTTAAAGGTACAATAAAAGCTGGGAGTTAAATTGCTTTTAAAAAGCTTAGGGTATTGTACTAGTCAAAAGACAAGGAAGAGGGAAATATATGCCTTTAAAGAGGATTATATAATTTGTATTTACTAAAGACTAACCATTCCCTCTATAAACATCACAGCTGCTGCAATATGTAGGTCAGTGAGATACAAGCTCAGGGAGGTGCCTACAGCCTCAAAAGAGCAGCCATAGAGGTCTATAGACATTTTAACATGAGTCCAAAAGAGCACTACACAAGAGTCAAAGAATTAATTTGGGATTAACCAGTTGAACCATAAGGAGGAAAAACAGAAAGTATGAATTCAAGAAACATGCAGACATTTTTCTTAGTTTGACTGCTTAAAAAAAAAACCCCAAACCACACAAAAAGGGCTAAGAAGGATCTTTACATGTGAAAAGCTCTAAATTGTAGTAGGTGAAGGGAAAAAAGTCAAACAACAGATGTTAATTTTTCATCCATTTTTAACATGAAACTACACACCAATATTCTTTTGCTAAAGACTCTTACAAAACTGCTCATTAGCTGAACACCAAGGTCATAAAATAAACAACCATGATGATGGGAAAGCAAGACACACTTACCTGTAGGGATGAATGTAGGCTGTTGCAACTGCATGTTGGCTAGAGCCTGTTGGTAGTGGAAAACGCTTGGGTTAAAGACTGTGGTGGCACCATTGTTTTTTTCAAGTGCTGGCCTCTTTGGTAAAGGTTGAAGTGCACCAGGCGGCAGGGCCTGTGGATAAGGGAGTCATTAAAGACAAGTGGAGTAAATAAAGGGGCCCAGATGTAGGTCAAGCATGCAATAAATAACAGGGGGTCTTGGCTGCAAATCACCTGCAACTCTATCAACTTAGCGAGACAGGAGAGAGAGGAGCAGCCAACTCACAGTAGGAGCAGGAGGTGAAACAACAGCTTCACTAGGTAAGCAGTTAGTGAAGGCACCAGGAGGAGGGGCAGAGTCCAGAAAGAGGAGGGATGCTAAGGAGCTTTTCAGCAGGACTGACTTGGGTACAGAGGGAGAAAAAAGCACTGGGAAAAGGAAGGGGAGAGGTGGTCACCTGGACAGGATGCTACAAAGAGCAGTTGCAGGCAACAAGCATTAAAAACCCCAAAAGAAACAGAAAAATATAGTAGATGACTATTGAAAACCCAAGAAGATTAGCATAAGCAACAAATACCATGGAAAAAAAAATGGATGCTTGCCTCTGGTTCAACACCTGCCTACATGTATGTGTGCATGTGTGGAAGTGTGCACACTGTGCAGCCAACCCATTTGTCCAGATGGTAAAGCTGTAGCTGTTGCCAATTACACACATAACTTTACATTCACAATAAAATGCATTTCCACTTGTTAGTAGAGAGGCTGAGCAACATGGTCAAGACCAGGCCTGATTCTCCACTGCTCACACCAGAGGCACGGCCCACCACCAGCAGATTTGGACCAGATCCCACTTTATAGAAGGTGGCCTCCATCAGTCAAATACTGCTCACTCATTATTAACAGTGGAAAAAGCCATTGACAAATCCCTTCTTTTCATTCTATCACACCACCGGGCTTCTTCCAGCCCGTCAAACCTGTTTCATGATCAGACTTGGTAAAAAGCATTAACCCAACTCAGGAACTTTTCTCAGTGAGTTACTCATCATTCATCCAAGCATGTCTCAACAGCAAAGTAGTATGTCAGGTTCTTAAGAGACAGGAATGTTTCTAATGATTTACAGCTTTTCATTGTACCCAAGTAAGAAACCACACTTTTTTCTCCACATTGTGATAGAAAAGGGTCCTTTTTAATTATGCCCCACAGTCCTTTTGCACGTAACACTCCCATTGACGTCAATGAGATTTACGCACGTGGAAGTCATGCAGAATCAGGTCATTTCTGACTAGTTGTTAGTCTGTATCATGTAGCAAAGCAATGGCTGAAAAACAGGGTTATCACTCCTACTTTTATTTTAATAGGTCACAAATGAATGGTAGGCAATGGACAAGGTTTGGCTAATGAAGGGTTAAAGCTACAAACACACAATACTCGGAAGGAAAGACACAAGTAAAGAGATTTTAAAGCATTATGAAGTTCAACACACAACAGAATGTAAGTGAAAGCTTGCAACAGTTTGTTGCCATCTAGAAACAGGTTTCACTTTAATTTGCTATAGGAGACTGCTCATCTGAGAAATGTTAAGCAACATACTTCCAGGCAAAACATTACTCCATCCTATCTCTACTCACATGGTTGCTTTTGGGTGGTTTTAATATTAAAAAAGAAAATGAGAAGAAATTGCATTTGCAAAACTGCCCTCAGACATGCACACATCCTTTGCCTATGCTGGTGGGCATCCACTCTCAGCACCAGGATTTAATTTTCCCCGATTTCTTCTGGCTGCTACCAAAAGACAGAAGTCAAAGATGGGACAATATTCTCAGACACAGACACCAAAATCTTTTACTTAAGATCCATATTTTAGGATGATGTACGAGTTTTCATTTCTAGGTAAGCTTTCATTGGTATCTGTGTTAAATCTGCCTGTTATCTACCACTTGTCTATTTAATGATGGCTACGTGAACGTTCCTCCAGGCACAGGACAGAGCTGCAGCTTACACAGTCTGGAGTAGTTTCATGTACATCACAGAGGTTTTACAGCTTTAGAACAACTCAAGAACTTGCTACTTAAATTCAGGCTCCTTATGGTTTCCAATTGCTAAATAACCCTTTTCGGACACTTCCAAAATCTGCCTCAGAAGAAGAATGTACTAATTATAGCAAAGCAACTGCACCAGGCACATAATGGACTTTTGACTCCCTGCTTCTTGGCCAAAGGCTGTCACCAGCCCAAACCCCACAATGGCAGTGCCAAGAGCAGAACAGCTGAAGGCTTTGAGACCTTGCTGTCTTGTCCTGGCACATCACATGACAATTCCAAAGCACAGCACTGCAGTCAGAGGAGATAACAGCAGGCCCCAGGGATGTCAAGACACATCAGACTATCCCATCACCTCTCCAGCATCACCCTCCCTCCTAACCAGCTACAGTCCCGTGGGAGCAAGGGAAAGAAAGGAACTATGGCAGCCTCACTGTTGCTCCCTCAACAGCAGCCAGGTGGAGAAACACAAATAAATGCAATATTTCCAGAGTGTTCTAAAGAAACAAGCACTCTGCAGCAGCTCCTGTGCCATGGGATGTGCAGCTCTCATGTGGGCTCTGTGGGCAGGGGAGTGAGGAACCCATCCTGATCTGCTGCTGGTTTGAAGCAGATCCCCTCCAGCCCAGCAGCTGCAGGAGTGTTCCCACAGGATACAGGAAGATGTATGGGCTCCTCCTGTTGCCAACTGATCTTATTTTAGATACCAAGGTGTAGGAGGGCCCAAGGACACAGAACAATCTGGCTCCAGCCCTTTTCCAGCCTGTGTGCTGAGGTAAGAGCCTCAGGAATATGCTCACTGAAAGGTCCATCTATAATTCCTTGAAGAGGCATCTAAAACTGCACATGATGAAGCTGGGCCCATACAGCTGCTGCAGGGGACACAGCACAAAACAAATGTCTCTCATTTGACACAGGCTACAATTTTTGTATCACCCAGGACCTGCAGGAATTGTAGCAGCTCCAGGGGATACAACATGTCTTTCTTGCACCACGTCCTAGTTCTGAAGGAATCCTGCAAGCAGGATATACAAAAGGCAACAGACACTCCTCACCACCAAATTCTGTAGCCAGTGTCACACTCCTGCAGAGGAATTAGACTAAACCCTCCTAGCAAAAAACTTGATGAGTTTACCTCATCCAGCTGCTTGTGCTTTCCCTCTGGACAAGCTCTGACCACCATAACTACAGCAGCAGCTCCTGGACAGTAACTTTTCCTAACTTTATTTTTTCCCTGTGTATTTGCATACATGGGTACACAGCCTTTGCAGCAGGATCTGGCCATCTGCACCAGTGAAAGGGTTAATTCAGTCCAGAATCCATGTGATAGTCCTGCACCGATCCAAACTAACAATTTCCACTAATTAAATGCCAGGCAGCCTCCCATTTTTAGGCTGGGAAAGCCACATTCCTGCTCAAATGAGAATCTGAACAAAGAGGCTTGTGCCACTGCTCTGCATGGCATGGAAAGCAATTCTTCAGCAAGACTGACACATAAAAACACACTTCATGCTAAAGTCAGAATTTCCCACGTGCTGGTTTACAAACGTCTCGTTATTTTTTACAAGACAAGAACTGGATTAAATCTTTGCAACAAATAATTTAATTGTACCTCAAAGTTCCCCTCAGCTCTCTATCTCCTGGGACTAGATCACACTTTCACCCTTCTGCACTCAGCAAGGAGGGGCTGGGTCTGCTGCCAGGCATGACAAACAGAATTATCTGAGAGAGGGCAGAGGTAGCACCCGTTCCCTGGCAAGCAGCAGAAGCCAAGTGAGCAGTTTCCTCTGAAGACCAAACATGCTCTTATCACCCATGAAGGGTTCAGAGGAGGTGACATATCCTAACAAGTGGCTGCCAACCCTTGATGGGTCAGAGCGGGAAGGCTCATACAAGCAGCTTCTCTCAGAGGGTTTGTTCAGTGGGGGAGCAATTATGGGCTCTCCCCCTCTCTGCCAGACTGTGTCTCCTCAGAGTGGTGGCCCTTGGAGAGGGCAGCTGTGCAGGTCCTGTGTCAGCTGTGAGCAGAGTGAGTGAGAGGCTGTGGTGCCATTCACAGCATCATTCCACCACTGCTGCCAGAAGCTGGGCCCTAGCAGGGCTTCCTACTGCTGCTGCCTAAAACTCTGATAAGGAAGCCTCTTGACTACTTAAACCCAAAAATAAGTCTTTGGAGAGGAAGGGGAGAAGATCAGCTTCTCCTCCCTAGCTCTGAGAACGAGAATCAATCAGCTTGATGGTTTCACAGTTCCCATGTGTCCACTCTTCCCTCTCCCTGCTATAGCTGGGCAACAGGAGCTCTTTCTTTTAAAATGTATTGTGTCCCTTATTCTTTGGGAAAACAGGAAGGCATTGTCTTCTATGGAGCCAGGACTGACAGCACTGTGAGGAGGATAGCTTTTGCCTCACTATGAGCATCATAAAGGCAAGTAAAACATATTATTTGAATCATAAAACAACCAAGGCCAGGATATATGAGGACAGCTTGCAGGCAGAAGCTCAGGGAGCAGATTCCATGCTTGAGACTGAAGAAAAAGGTACCCAGAGTAAGGTGCCTTTGGTGACACTATCCCAGTGGGGAATGGGGGATGAACCACAGACAGAGCCAGCTGAAGGGACAGCTAAGTCCCACACTGCACCTGCTTCAGTTCCCAGCACAGATCCCCAAGGATGCTGTTTAGCCCTCTTTCCCCTAAATCTCAGTAGTGTCCACTACACAGAATGCTCTTGTGCAGGGCAGTAACCAGCACGGCACTGCCAGGCAAGGCTGTGATGTTGGGAATACAAAGAAAAGTTACTGGATCTGTCCTGTAACCACCCAGTCCTCTGGCATTTAGAGCACATTGCAGACCTTATGAGCTAAATGCTTAAATTCTCCCTCAAACATTGCATCTTGTGACTTCCAAAGCTGCCAGCGTTCAGAAAAACACTTCAAAAGCCAGAGCTGCCTCCCCACGAGATTATTCACTGTCTCCAAAACACATCCAGGCTTCGAGAGGCAAAGCTCAGACGTTAATGGATGGTATGTGGGGCACAGGATTGGCATGTCTGAACGTACACTGAACATTTCTGGCTGGGATGGGCAGTCTCCCCAGGCACTAACACCACAGAGAAGAGCAGAAGGCTTTCATGCAGATTAAGATGGTTACGTGCAAAGCCAGAAGGTGAAAGGTCCAAGTACCAGGTCAAAGGTTGCCTCGAGCGGTCGCTTCAGTGATCTGACAGCTGGCTGAGTCTTAATTAGCAGGCAGCGAGCACATGATGGACATGGGCCGGGGAGGGGGATCAAGCACAGTAACAAAAACAGCAAGCAGAGGTGTGTCAAGAGAGAGCAACAATTTGGGAAGGCGAAGAGAAAAAAAAATTAAAAAGTGAATGCGTTATACAATCTATTAAAAAGACGAGGCATGCACAACATGGGGTGGCTGGGTAATTACCTGGCCTAGTGGCAAGTCAGTTATTTTGCCTCGGTAAGGTTTAAAAGTAAAGAAATGTCATCACAGGACACGTGCTTTGGAGCTTTGTCACATCAGCTGGCACGGCAGGGCAGGAGCACTCAGGGATCAGCACCTGCACAGGGACTGGGCTCCAGCCCTCATGCTGCAGCCACACACCATGCAGAGGCCAGCAGAGCACTCGTGGAGGGGGAAGGACCACTGGAAAAGGAGGGAGCTTCAAGCACATGCTTTAGAGCTGCCCTGAACTGGGGACAGAGCCTTATCCAGTTCATCCAGTGCTGCACTGACTTCAGCCAAGCAGGAGTGAGTAAAGCTGCTACTTGTGCACATCAAGTAACTGCAGGATTGGGTCCCTCAGAAATGCTGAATTTAGATTTGAAGTCATTCTAAATCTGTTTTACAACACAGACCCATAGCCTAGCATCTGTTTTTCCCTCCAAGAAAATGGAGCACCTTTCTTCCCTTTAATAAAGTCTTACACCTCAACAGGTACAGTAAATGCATCAAACCTTGAAAAGTCAATGAATAATGTAGGCTGTTTTGGTAGCAGGGGTGATGCAACAAGCCATCAATAAATATTTTAAAGGTTCTCGTTAACAGCATACAAATAGGGTTAATTACATTTTTAAGAGAAGCCAGCTGGATGAATAAAACATGCATTGGCTTTGGTTAAGTAGCAGTGTCCTAGATAATTAGTGAAAAAGTAAAGATTCAATTGTGAAGAACACAAGAGTTTCGTTTCAGAAGGTTATTTTTCAACAGAGCTGGACTCTTATTTCAACAATAATAAAAACAGTAAGGAAACTAATAAATAAACTCTGCAGGACAAATAAATACTGCAGTACAAATTAATTGCTCAAATTGCATTCCAGGTAATATTGATGCTACAAGGAGGGCACTTGTTTAATTTCTAGAACTGCCTTGGCTCTGCATTAAATTTCATTATGAATTAAAAGCAACCTCCTCTACTACCTTAAAAAAATGAAAAGGTATTTAGAAACATTTTAGTGGCCTTAATTCTAAATCAAAGAGGAAGCAAGGGCCTTTTTAATATTAACTAGAAAAATTTTTAAAAATCATAGAAGAGATGGAAGGGACCTCTAGAGATCAGCTAGACCAACATTCTGCTCAAAGCAGGGTCAACTACAGCAGCTTGCTTGTGACTCCATTCAGGTTCAGATACAGGTTCTCAGTATCTACTAGGACGGAGAATCCTTTTGTAGCGCTAGATCTTTCTTTGGTAAATAAGTTTTTCCTTATGTTTAAATGGAATGTCCAGAATTTCAATTTGTACCCATTGCTTCTTATCTTTTCATTGGGCACCACAGGGAAGAGCTTCCCTTCACCTTCTTTACCTCCCACATCAGGAATTTATGCATAAGGATAAGATCCCTTGGGCAGCTTCTTCCCTCCCCAGCTCTCTTATCTCTGGAATTAACAGGTCCCATTAAACCCAACTCAACAGAGTGGCAAACATTTATATGAGCTAGGAGCCACCTGGTGAGACTTCCTTGACTCATGTTCAGAAATGTAGATATAAGTAGCCACAATTCAACTTAAAATGCAAGTGGGACCATCTCTCCAAAGTCCAAAGCATTAAACAGGTCAGGAAGTCACCCTTGTTTTGTGTCTTATAATTTTACTAAGTCTTGGCAAAAGTAGTGGCCAAGCTCAGACAACTGACACCATCTGCTTTTTGCAGAGAACAGGCCAGGTTCTCCCTGAAAAGGATATATTGTGTATTGAGGAAGCTGAACTGACCCCTATGACTCAGCCAGGGAAGGTGTTGGGTGCTGCTGCACTTGCATTCATGTCACATCACAATGTCATGTCAGCAAATCACAGGGCTGGGCACCACGTCCCTACCTGGTGAGATGCACTGTGCCACTGAGGGCTTCATGCTGTGGTGAGCACAGAGACAGGATGAAGAGATGGAATGCATTTTGCACATGCTCTCAGCTCTCTAGTCAGCCATTTACAAAGCTCTCTGCTTTTCCACAAATGACACATATGACACGTGGAATCTCTTAGCAATGGAAATGCAGCTTGAGAGGAGCTCTACTTACCATTGCAGCTGCAGCTGTCTGGTTCACCTGGTGTTGAGCTGCCTTGATTTTGGCTTGCAGGTGTGCAGGAGGATGAAAGTACTTGCATTTCTCCCTAGAGCATCGACCTTTGATGTAATCCATGCAAACTGTAACAGTATTTTCATTTGTGTCTATCATTGCAATATCTATAGGGTGAGCATAGCGGCAATCATTCTCACCACGTGTGCAATTTCCACGCTGAAACTCTCGACAAACCTTAAAAGAAAGTCACATTGTTGAGCAGAACATGAAGTTACTTTTCATTCAGTATTTTCAACACAGAATATCAGTTCAGTTGGCCACATTAAGCCATGTGTATCTTCTAAATCCATGCTCATCTGGGGTAGCACATATATCAACACACACAGGGGCAAGTGGTTCTACTCACAACTGCTCCAGGAGGTGAAAAGACCCATAACATTAATAAGGCCAATTACAAAATGCAAGTGAAGTACAGAATTTGTGCAGAATGTAAAGTGACCACAGAAAATCAATGGCATTTGGACAAAACTTTTGCAGGTCAGGATTCCTCCCCTGCCTCTAAAGCTTAAATGTTAATAACTCTGCCATTTGTGTCTCACCTGGATTATGTATTTGTTATGGAGCACACTCTTAGGCAAGACATTTAATTTTAAATGTTACATGCTACTGCTATTTGCAACAAGCATTTTTCCTAAACATGAGGTGCCTCTTTCACATAAATAGCCTCCCTGCCCTTCACAATAAATCCCCAACCCTGGCATTACGTGACAGCACATTTGGTTACACAGCAATGTGTTCGAAGGTGCTGCCAAAATTACTAGTTGTACTAGGATCTCACAGATCCTCCTAAGTTATGACCACTGAAGCATCAGAAACAGACAAAAAGGTTTCACAAAAAATCTGCAAGGTTTCTTGTCAGAGAGAAGTTGTTGAATAATACAGCAAGGGGCGTAGCTCACGTACCAATGTGCAATCAGACTGAGTGTGGGGAAAGGCGAGACGTCAGCAAGGCAAGATAAAGTACATAACACAAAACAATGTGTTTTGAAATTACACCCTTCTCTGCTATCTTCCTGTGTTATAATTTACACCTGCAGGGGCCTCTGAATTCAGGTCCTCAGCCCTTTTCTCCTGCAGAGTCTCTGCTTAGGCTTTGAAAGACATTTACAACTGCTCCACGGTTAAGTCCCAGCATGTCCACCCAACTGGGGAGGGAGAGATGTGTTTCCAACACCACACACTCTCCACTCCCACCAGTGTAACGCTTAAAGTTTTCTGTAAAAGCTCAATAAGCCCATCTCTAGAAAAGGGAAACATCTATTATCTCCAAAACATCTCCCACCCAACAGAATTTAAGAGCAGACCATCTACTTGGCTTTTTGGGGTTTTTTTAAGCATGGCAGATCACATAAAAAAAACAATCCTAACCCTGCTCTAAAACCCACTGATACCAGAGGAGTGAGTTTTCCCAGATTTCCATTTGGGATGGATTTGGGAAAAGGCCCCGCAAAAGCGTCTGCTCGGGCAGAGAGCAGCAGCCCTGTGCTAGCAAAGCTGCAAGTTCAGCTCTGTACTGTGCTGCATCAGGTCATTTTAGCAAAGAGCAACAGCTGGGAGCACATGTCCTGTTCATGCCTGTCAGCAGTATTGTATCAGATGTCCAAATACCTCCAGTTTATCCGTACGCATCAGTTTCTGCCCAGCAGAGCCTCCCGGTACTGTAACAGTAGGATTTCCAGAAACCAGGACAGGAGTATTTGGTAAAAGCTCTGCAGGAACTAAGCCCATCCCAGGAGAAACATGACTCAGGTAGGGACTAAAAGCCATTGTGGGGCTTGTTGCAAGCGATGGAGTCACAGGAAACGTTGTCTGTGTACAGAAAGAAGAAAAACAAAGTATTAGTTAAAAAGCTCCGTCTTGGATTTCCCATCAAAGCCTTGCATCACACTTCAATCCTTTTAGACAATTTGATTAGTCACATCAAAATGCTGTGCTCTCCAATCTATTCATTTATTGCCATTTATTTGCCATCCATTCGCTTCTCCTGACTCACAGATTTGTGACTCATCCTGAATACAAGGCATCTTTATTTGTCAGATCAAAGCATATTGATGATCTTTATAGTTTAATGACACAATTAAGGATTTCATGCCAGCAATTAGGGCAGGCCCAAATTAAACAGACTTCTCATTCCCAAATACACATCTCAGCTTCCTTATGCCTACACTGCAATGCTGTAGACACTCCAAGGTACACTGCAGCTTCAGGACCTGGAAGCAGGTAACCCCATTAGCAGGTAACTCCATTAGCTGCACTGCTGCACCACCATCAGCCTGCCCTGAGCTCCATGTTAGCACAGCCAGTGGGTCTCAGGTTAGACCAAAGGCACCATTCAGTCAGGTGAGGTATCTCTGCTGCAGTACACTCAGTTGGTCAGGCATCCTGCACATTTGGGTTTGGTTTCAGAGTGCCAACAGAGTTCAGGCAAAAGCCATTTTGGAGAAGGATCTAAGTCTGCGCTCCATGTGAATGGCACCAAGAGGACCCCAAACTCATTAATGCCACAACATGATTATGTCACAACAGATGAGATGGCTCAGGTGGACTAGAGCGACAAGATCCCACCTGTGCTAAAAGGAGCCACATTCTCTTTGGGACAGAACAACAGGCCACAAAGATCTCAACCACTTCAGTACCCTCCATTGTGTTAGGCAGGTCCTCTAAGTGCAGCAGAGCTTCAGTGCTGAGGGCCAGAAGCTCTTCCCTGACCTGAGCTGATCCAGCAGTGCTCATGTGGAAAAGGAGCTGCTGTGCTGGCAGGCAGGTGAGCACAAGGCTCTTAAGCAGATGCTCAGTTTAAAGTCTGGGACTAGCCCCTGTAGCCAGGGAGGTTTTAAAGCACCACATCCAGAGTATTCTTGGGAATAAAACCAATTCCAGCTTGATCAAAATCTCCACCTGACCTCACTGAAGATGACAATATGCATGGCAGCACTCCTGCTCCTGTGGCAGGGGCTCGAGCACCCCCCAGGGAATGCAGCCTGAAAACTGGACCATTTTTCTTTTCCCTCCTGTCACCTGCTCCACTGTGAACTCTGGGTTCCAGTTAAAGCTGTTCATATTGGCAGGTGTCTATGACACCATCCTTGGAAGCTACAACTTCAAATTGGCAATACACAATTGCCTGGGGCAGTTTTTTGGCCACACACATCATTCCCTCCTTTCTTTTGGTTTGGTACTTTTAGTCCTGTGAACTTCTAAAAGAAGTCATATGGACAGTGTGTTCCTCAACAGCATCTTCACCCTGGTACTTCCATACTTTACTTGTTGCAATGTGGAAGAATTTTACCCATGGTAACTTCAGCCAACTGTCCTAGCCCAGCTTTAGCTCAACAATGCCCTTCCCTAAGGTCAGTGACAGCCAGCAGCTCCCCAGCCCATGGGAAAGGGAATCATTGACATAATATATCCCATTTTCTCCTCCTCAGTGAGGAGACACAGCTTCCTCATCAATGGTGCTGGATACTTTAACTGCAGCAGAACCAAGTAATTCTTTTTCTGGAAGGGATTTCCAATTTTCCTTCCTGTGAGCCTTAGTCAAGCACTGCTTCAGCTGTTGGAAGACTTCAGCCACTAAAGCCAGAGATCCCCCAATCCACAGCCCTTTATTAAATAATTTTCTTCTCTCTTTCAATTCTTTGGTGGCTCCCAGATATTTTACATCTTTTGCTGCTAAAAAGGTTCTTTAGGATTTTCAAATCTGTGACTCCCTGAACACTTTAGTGAGGAAGCAGCATCCATTAGACTGTTTTCTTTTGTGCAAGTACCAGTAATTACAGTGGTATCTGCTGAACTTCCATCACCATTTGCACCATAAATTCTGTTTTAAGGAGCTTCTCCTGCCTGGCCAGTCTGCACAGGTTATAGTGGGGCCTGACATGTTGTCAGCATTTGTTTTATGTACCCATAGTAACCCAAACCTTGCAGTACATGTGGCTTGCACAAATGTGTGGGCAAACCTACCCTATGTTTTTCAGCACCTAATACAGCAGAAGTATCCTGACTGAGCAGGTGTGGCACAAACACTGCTCCAAAATGCCAGGACATCCTTTAAAGCAAGCTTCTCCTGCTTGGCTGGGTTCAAACACAGCTAAGTGTGGACCTTGCTGGTTTCTGAGACAAAGGGAAGATGTTCCTCCCATTGCTGAAGGAAGGATTTGTGCAGACTGGGAATGCTGGGGGCTTGCAACACCTCACACTGAGTGAATTCACCTGAAACATTCACTAAGAGATGGCCTACCAGCCTCTTCACCAAAGCTGCTACAAAGTGGAAGCAGGACCTGCTCCCTGAAACACAATCCTGAACTCCCTCAAAAGCAGTCCCTCTTCTCACTGGGAGCAATCAGCAAGGGCTAATGGATCCAAACCCAAGCTGAAGTGAGTGGAGGAAAGATGTGCATGAGGAACAACTGATTTGCAGGGATAACATCAGTGATCTCTTGATCACTGAGTTGCAACATCCACTTGCGGTCCTGGAGACCCACAGAGGGATGCTCGTAGGAGCAGGAGGAGTTTTTATTGCTGCTGCTGTTTGTTCACCCCTTTCTGTGCCCTGACATCTGCTGCTGCCTCCCCAAGGTTTCCCAAGGCTCCTTCTGCCTGCCTGCAGTGAGTGCCTGCTCCCCTGATGGGAAGCGCCAGTTGTGCTCCACACCCTGCCCGCAGGCTGGGGCTGCACTCGCAGCCAAGCGGGTGCACAGCCAGGGAACAAGCAGACCTCACTCAACAGATTCAACCTACAAGAGCTGGGGTTTTCAGTCTGGAGTGTGTGAAGCACTCTGAGAACTGTGCCTTTGTGAGCTGGCACCAGGGAGCTCTGTATTTATTGTGGCTGATGAGGGGAAAAGATGGGCTGTGCTCACTGCCAGACCCGGCTGCCTGTCTTGGATTGGGAAATCCAGTCTGGCTCATGCATCAGCACCAGTAATAGGGATGCTGCCAGCCAATGCTTCCCTCTACGTCTGTGCAGGTCCCCCATGTCCTCAGGGAATGTGAGCAAATTTCCTCCTTGCAGCCAGAACCCAAATGTAATTTTCACTCCAAACAGCACTGCCCTCCTCAACGTGCCTCCTGTCCACCTCCTGTGACAGCTTTTGGCTGGGATACAGTTAATTTTCTCCACAGTAACTGGTACAGGGCTGTGCTTTGGATTTGTACTGGAAACAGTGTAGATAATTCAGGGATGCTTTTGCTGTTTCTGAGCAGTGCTTACACAGGGCCAAAGGTTTTTCTGCCTCTCGTCCCACCCAACCAGTGAGGCGACCATGGGGGGCAGCACAAGGAGTCAGGAGGGGACAGAGGACAGCTGACCCCAATTGAACCAAGGGATATCCCAGACCAAATGGCATATGGTCCTGATATAAAACTGGGAGGAAAAGGAAGGGAAGGACAGGAGACCTGACAGAGCAATGTTATGGCTGTACACTAAAAACCATACTATCAATTTAATTGCTGGTGTGCTCTAGGGCAAAACAGAGGGATAGAAAGTATCAGAATTTACTCCTGCTGCCCTCCTTCAAGCTCTTGCTAATTCAGGAAATACAGAGACAGGTTTGCTAATTCCTTGCAAATTAGCTTTTATAAATCATAGAATAGAGAGACTACCAGTAACTCCTCTGCAGAGGGAAAAAGGTTACAGTGCAGCAGCAAAGGGTTCAGGCTGGTAGCAGCTCACAAGACTGGTTTACTGAGTATTAAAATGCTTGTAAGAATAGTAATAATTTTAAAAAGCTGAAATGGCTGTTGTGAGAACACATCTCAGGGGGAGGGCTGCCAAGGACTGGACAGCTCTGAGCTCCTCACAGACCTCAAGGATGGAAGCTGCTGGGTTGAAGGTGTGAGCAGAGAGAAGGAACCATCCCAGGGAGGGGCATTTGTCACCACTGGTGACAGCAGAACCTGGAACAGCTGATTTTGTTAACAATCTAGGAGTTGCATTCGATTTGGCTAGCAGAAATTGTGCTAAAGCTAGAGAAGAAACACAGAGTGGGTGTGAAGAGGAAGGCAGAAGAGCGGTTGGTGTTTTGTCAAACACAAGCACTGTCTCAGCCAGAAAGTGTTGATTCTGAGTTACCTCAGACCCTAAAAAAGGGAAAGCCTGAAAATGAGAGGCCCACTGTAAATACAGAGGTGTTGATAGCCTGAAGGAGGGGAGACAGGTCACTGCTAAGCAGCTATATATGGAAAGCACACAAAAAACAATGGCAGCTTACAGTCTGGTGTTAGAAACTGAAGATAAAGATCTCGTACTGGCATGACTGAAAACCTTGATATTAAAAACATACTTGATGCTGTCAGAAAACCCAAAAATCTGCCTTCCCCCCATTGTAACTACATGGGGCTGGCTGGCTGCAAAACCACCCTCCAACACGAAGGCTGAGCATGCTGGAGTGAATCTAATGGGCCAAAGCATCCAGCTACCTACCACCACAGATGCTCATTTCCCCAACCAGACTGCAAAGACACACTCCTAGCTCAAAGAATATCTCATTTGTGGGCTGTTGTAGTGTAAAAGACAGGTGTTAACACCCCACAGCACTGTCTCTTGGCAGATACCAGCTCCTGGGTGGGCCAGGATACCTGCATTTATTCATACCTAGCATGTCTTTGACTAGAGTTGAGATATAAATCAGGTTTTTGCTGCATGGAAAAAATGCCTGTGCAAAGCACCTGTTGAAATCAGCTCCAGCATTTGCTCCAAGCATCACTGGCCAAGCAAGTTGCTCACCCTCTGCTTTAACCCCTCCATCAGCACCAAGGAGTGGCAGCAGGATCCTGCTGCCCCAGGAGGGGACCAAGGGCTGGGTTAAGATCTGGGCTGCCTTCAGGGGCATGGGTGACTCAGAACTATCAAGATAGTCCGTCTACAAAGATCTTGGCATGAAGAAAAGACAAAGAGCTGGAAAACAGAGAGGAAACAGCTTCCCTAGGCAGCAGCAGAGGCAGCTGCAGGGCAGGAGTGGTGGCAGGTGTGTCACCACTGCCATGCTCCATCAACAGTTTGTTGAGGCAAACCAGTGCCGTGCTCCACCATGTCACCAGGACCCTGGGCTGAAGCACCTCCATGGTCAGCTCCAAAAGTCTGCCCCACACTGCTGCAAAGGGATAAAGCAAGATGGAGAGGATGGGCACTAGGCCCAAGGTGCAGCACTTTTTGGTCTTGCACTGGCACACACAGGACATAAAGTGACCATATCTGAGAAACCAGACATAAACAACATTGACCAAAGCAGCTCTTCCTATCAATGCCAGAGCCCAGCTCACAGACAGACACCATTTCAGGAAGCCTGGTGAAAAACTGCTCTCTCAAGTGCTGGTTTGGTTTAGATTTGGTGGGGGTTTTTTGGTGGTATTTTCTTTTTTTTAACTCAGTAGCTTTTCTGGTGAAATTGCACTTTAAAATGTCTAAACATTCAGCTGCTGTTTGGAGCTATTAAGTGTGCTGTTTCAAATCTCATCTCTGGCAAGCATCCCAATTAAGCAGGCATCCTGTTGATCAGCTTTCTGATCACATGGGATTTGTTCTGCTGCTGCATCACATACAATACCTTCTGCTTTGGCGAATTTCATGTGTACCCAGAAGGAGGCCCCACCCTTCTCATTTAGAGAGAAAAGAATTCTCAAAGCCAGCTTCCACTGACAGCATCTTTGGGAAATCAAAGGCAGTTGAAAGAGCAATCTCTTGTCTGTCCTGAAATTGGTGTGGAGCAAGTTGGGCAGCAGCAATCAGACCAAGAGCTTGTTTAGTCTGAGTAAAGCGTGGGAAAGCATGAAGGGAGCAGTCAGTGCAGAACAAATTTTTATTTTTCTTCTTTGCCCATGTTTCCCTCATGGCACAATTTAGAAACCAGGGGCCTTTCTCATCAGATAAGGTTACTTCTGAAATGAGAGCACCAACTAGACAAACCAACATATTCAGTCTCAGAGGCAATTTAAAAGGCAGGCGCAAAATTCAGAAGCATACTGGACCTGCAAGATTGCAAAGTGGGAAGATGGGAACTTTCCAAAAAGGAAATCCCAAAGATGCTTTGAATAGCCAGCCAGAGAACATCCACTGTGAATTCCTCATAGAAGGGGAAGGGTTTGCTTTTGGTACAGGGTTTGGAAACCAATGTCACTATTTTGAGGGAATTCAGGATTCCTTCTGATTTGGACATACTTTCAAGCTCCACAAAAAAGAGGTGCAAGACTACAGCAGATAAGAGTCTAAGGTACAGCACAAGTAAAGATCCTCTCTGTGGCTAATTTTCTCTTCTGTATCAACTTTCCATCTTCAAAATGGGAAGAATAAACAGCATTTTCTTAGCTTATAGGGCAGGATAAAGCTACTAGCAGACACACAAGATGATCAGAGCGATGGTAAGCATGGAAAACCCCCCCAAAACACAGGAGGAATACGTCAGACTGAGGAAATAGCCCAGCTGGGTGGCAGACCACCATCATGAAGGGACACTGACCAGCTTTCCCTGCTGAAACAGGGAAACCTCTATCACAAGTTCTTACACCAAACATCACAACAGCCTCTAATGAGGAGGAATCCTTCACTGTTCTCTGGTGACAATAAACCAGAAACACCTGAGCTTTTCAGCTGTGGTGACAGATGCTGTGTCCCACATGGGCAGAGAGGCCAGGCACTGTAGGTGGGACACCAGGAGGCCAAGTTCAGGCTGGTTCACAGACTTGACCCCTTCAGGCTAGAAGAGCTTGTCCAAAGGATCTGGCCAGTCCTTCCAAGTGGCATAGCACAGGGAGCCTCACCCAGCTACAGCACACTAAGTGTACACTGCCCCAGGAAAGACACTCAGTCCCAGCTTCAAACTGAGAACTCCTAATTAACTCTCAGTGCAGCTTATTCACATCAGCATTGAAGAGCTACTTCAAGACCTCTGACAGCTCTTAAAATAGACATTATGACAGACTACAACTCAGCTGACAAGTGTCATCCCCTCCCAGATACACCAACCAGCAGACACAAGCCATTCTCTCCCTGGCGTAACAGGGCTCTCCAGCCTGAAACCTGTTTTAACTGACAGGCAAAAGCAGGGACAGGCAGTGAAGGCTTCTCTGAACTACCTGCTCTGCAAACATCCATCTCCCACAGGCTCCCCTTCCTACCTGAAAAGAAGCAAACCCTTCCTGCTCTACCTCTAAATCAGCATTACTGTGAGAAACGAGTGACAGGGCTGTGACATTAGTACAGCTCTCTGCTGGGACAACTGCAGTGAAATGGTCCCACTCCCAGACATTAAAAAGGGTTAAAGGCTAGGTAGGATTCATCTTCCCTAGTTTTAGTCCAACAATGCCACACAGCTAGTCCAAGGGAGTCAGCATCATCTCAATGCAAAATAACAATCCAAAACAGGATCCACTGGAATTGAGCCACTTGGAATTGACCCTTCAAGTGGAAGGGTCTTACCACCAGGTGCTTTTTTGACCAGCTGATTGAGGTACATCCCCACTCTGGGATGTACATCAATCAGCTGGTCAAAGAAGCACCTTGGTGGTAAGACTCTTCCACTTGAAGCCCTGAATCTCACAGCTCCTCAGTTATCAGAGGAAAAGAGAGACACAGCTTTCAAGGAGATGCAAAAGTAGCATCAGACACCCCTCTGGAAGATTCTGCCCAGTTCTGTGCAGCACAATGGCCTGAGCTCAGGCACAGGGCTGGGACCTCTGTGAACAGACAGGGAGGGACAGGGAGCAGTGTGAGCCTGATGGGCCAGGGCTGTAACTC